GATTTTTGCCCGCCAGCTGCGAAAATCGCATGGTTTTTGGCCGCTAGCGGCGAAAATCACGCGATTTTTGGCCGGTAGCGGCGAAAATCGCGCTATTTTTGCCCGCCAGCTGCAAAAATCGCATAGTTTCTGGCCGCTAGCGGCGAAAATCGCACTATTTTTGGCCGCTAGCGGCGAAAATCGCGATTTTTGCCCGCCAGCTGCGAAAATCGCATGGTTTTTGGCCGCTAGCGGCGAAAATCGCACGGTTTTTGGCCGCTAGCGGCGAAAATCGCGCTATTTTTGACCGCCAGCTGCGAAAATTACATGGTTTTTGGCCGCTAGCGGCGAAAATCGCGCGGTTTTTGGCCGGTAGGGGCGAAAATCGCGCTATTTTTGCCCGCCAGCTGCAAAAATCGCATAGTTTCTGGCCGCTAGCGGCGAAATTTGCAAGATTTTTGGCCGCTAGCGGCGAAAATCGCACGATTTTTTCCCGCAAGCGGCGAAAATCGCGCTATTTTTGGCCGGTAGCGACGAAAATCGCGATTTTTGCCTGCCAGCTGCGAAAATCGCATGGTTTTTGGCCGCTAGCGGCGAAAATCGCTCGGTTTTTGGCCGGTAGCGGCGAAAATCGGTCGATTTTTGGCAGGTAGCGGCGAAATTCGCGCGGTTTTTGGCCGCCAGCTGCAAAAATCGCATGGTTTCTGGCCGCTAGCGTCGAAAATAGTGCGGTTTTCGGCCGTCAATGGCAAAAATCGCCCGATTTTTGGCCGCTAGCGGCGAAAATCGCACGGTTTTTGGCCGCTAGCGGCGAAAATCGCGCATTTTTTGGCCGGTAGCAGCGAAAATCGCGATTTTTGCCCGCCAGCTGCGAAAATCGCATGGTTTTTGGCCGCTAGCGGCGAAAATCGCGCGGTTTTTGGCCGGTAGCGGTGAAAATCGTGATTTTTGGCAGGTAGCGGCGAAATTCGCGCGATTTTTGCCCGCCAGCTGCAAAAATCGCATGGTTTCTGGCCGCTAGCGTCGAAAATAGTGCGGTTTTCGGCCGTCAGCGGCAAAAATCGCCCGATTTTTGGCCGCTAGCGGCGAAAATCGCACGGTTTTTGGCCGCTAGCGGCGAAAATCGCGCTGTTTTTGGCCGGTAGCGGCGAAAATCGCGATATTTGGCCGCCAGCTGCGAAAATCGCATGGTTTTTGGCCGCTAGCGGCGAAAATCGCGCGGTTTTTGGCCGGTAGCGGCGAAAATCGCACGGTTTTTGGCCGCTAGCGGCGAAAATCGCGCTATTTTTGGCCGCCAGCTGCAAAAATCGCATAGTTTCTGGCCGCTAGCGGCGAAAATCGCACTATTTTTGGCCGCTAGCGGCGAAATGCGCATGATTTTTGGCCGCTATCGGCGAAATTTGCACGATTTTTGGCCGCTAGCGGCGAAAATCGCACGGTTTTTGGCCGCTAGCGGCGAAATAAATAAATAATAAATATATATATATTTATATATATATATATATATATATATATATATATATATATATATATATATATATATATATATATATATATATATATATATATATATATATATATATATATATATATATATATATATATATGTATGTATGTATGTATATATGTATGTATGGATGTATGTTAAGCTTATATTGAGGCCCCCCCAACTTGGGGGGACCTCAATAGGTTAAACTATTGACCCTCCCTAGGATGCAAGCCCACAGTTGACCAACTCCCGGATACCTACTCTCAGCTAGGTGAACAGAGGCATTAGGCGATAGGAAATATACCCAACCATTTCTGTCCTGCCTAGAATTCCTAACTGCATGTCAAGAACAACCAAGACAAGCACTACTAAGACACTTGTGCTTTTTAAGGAGTACAAGTCTCCATGAGACTTGTACAGTTGAATAACCACTAATTTCTTTTCCTTGAAGTCATATGTTCCTTAGAATATTCCTAAGGATTGGTTATTTTCTATTGCAGCTCATATATAATTGTGCAACTTTCGATGACTAGGTCCTATTCTTTATCGATCTGCTGCATATGGTAGTGTTCATATTATACTTGTGATGTGCATCGTTATACTATTTGTAGGGGTATTCAGAGTTTTTCAATTTTTAGTGTGAATAGTAAAGTATTCAGTGTTGGCTGCTTGTTTATCGTCAATTATAACTTGTCTGGTCTCGTCTTTTAAAAGTCCTACAGAGTCCTTTGTCTTGGTTTTACTTTTTATGTAATGTTTTGAGTAAGTTTACTTTCATAGTTCCTTTTGGCTATGATTTCCTGGGTAGCTAAGTTTAACACCTGTCTGTACACTGTATCTCTAATGTCTAAGCTCACTATTCCGGACTGTATGGGAAGGACCCCTCACCAGATAAGCAGAATTTATTACTGTGGAAGTCCAAAAATGACCATATTCAAATTTTTTTGTCCCATAACCAACTTAATTTGAATTTCCACACTTTAAATAAAAAATATAATACAAAAAACTAGAACTTACCTTGTTGTAGTTAGTCTTTTTGTTTGATACTGTCTATCTTAAATGTGTAGTTCTTGAAAATTTATGTTACATAATCTCCAGATTTCTGTCTGGATATGGCAAAGTTTTGCAGAAAATTATCAGCACATAGTTTTGGCTAGATAACTAATATATTCGATTTAGAGAAATTCGGATAAGCGATCGCATACAGTACTGTATAATATCTTGAGGTTATCTTGAGATGATTTCGGGGCTTTAGTGTCCCCGCGGCCCGGTCCTCGACCAGGTCTCCACCCCCAGGAAGCAGCCCGTGACAGCTGACTAACTCCCAGGTACCTATTTACTGCTAGGTAACAGGGGCATTCAGGGTGAAAGAAACTTTGCCCATTTGTTTCTGCCTCGTGCGGGAATCGAACCCGCGCCACAGAATTACGAATCCTGCGCGCTATCCACCAGGCTACGAGGCCCCATAAATATAAATATAATCCAAGTGAGTTCTGGTGAATTGATCCCAGTGGACAATATTTTCCTGAGGGCCACCATCTATCCAGTGGCTTCAATGAGGACAGGAAACAGGGTGGCTTCTCATATTCCCAAGGATTCTTTTTCCAATTGCATTTTGAACTGCAGTAATGTCAGGATTTACAGTTTTGGCAGTTCCACAGGTTTATAACCCTATGAGTGAAAAAGCATCCGTTTTCTGTCCTACATTGTGGCTTGTTTAAGTTGTTGCCCCTCGCACGAGTTATATTTCACATTAATAAAAATTGGAATCTTCCTTGCATCATCATAGATGACACTTTCTCAAGTTTCAAACCAATGCACACAAATGTTTCTCCAGGCATCACAGATATCAGAAATACCAAATTAAATACCTAATTAAAGAAATGAAACTATTTTTTACCATTAATTTTATTTACCTAAATACATAATTTGCACATGTTAAGTTAACAAAAATGCTTTTCAAATAAAATAATACTGTATATAGTGGCACAGACATTTTGGGCAAGTAATTATCAAAAGCACTACGCATTATATAGCAGCGTCTGTTACAGAAAGATTTTAATGTAACTGCTGCTTTACATAAACAATGTATACATGTCCAATTTATTTTGAGCAAATATTTGTACAGTAAATAAGTACTCAATAAAGCCGATTCAACTCTCACCACTTGAATAACCCGAGCAACCTGCCTCCCTGGAAACACAAACTGAAACTGTCTCTATTTTCCGCTTGTTACAACTTGTAATAAAGTTGTTACATCTTGGCTTAATGTGTTTATGACGTATTAGAACGTTGTTACAACTTGCTATATTGGTTGTTATAACTGGTCAGGAGGTGCTAAAACTTGTTCGAACGTTGTACCAACGTCGTAGTTTCAGTGTGTGTTTGGCAGGTTAGGGCGTTTCCTACAAGAGCGAGCATGAATTGGTACTTGAATAACCCGAGCGACCTGCCTACGGCGTTTCCTGCACGAGCGAGCATGAATTGGTACTTGAATAACCCAAGCGACTTGCCTAGGGTGTTTCCTGCATGAACGAGCATGAATTAATGCTTGAATAACCCAAGCGACCTGCCTAGGGCTTTTCCTGCATGAGCGAGCATGAATTGGTGATGTCATCCCGAGAATTCTTTGCTTCACCACAAAGGGTGATAGTGTATTTAATTTTTTCTTTCCCATGCATGATCAGGGGAACCCATTTTAACATTATTAGAATACAAAAAAAAAAAAAAAAAAAAATGCATGCATACCAGGGTTGTCACATGTAACAGGCACACAGTGCAGGGGTTACAAAGAAAGCAAAATTCTGTAAGAGGTACTAGCGCAAATGAGAAAAAATAATCATCACTATCTGTAGACTTTTACAACTATGAAGAGCACATATGAGTAGAGAAGTAGAGAACGTGACCAACCTTTTCAGTAATTCCTCTTTAATTAGCTTTCATTATTACCGGTATATTGTATCGAGAGGAAAAGTCAAATAGAAGGTTGAGAGGTCTTACTTCTAGTAAAATATAATTTTGAAGTTATGATCAAGAAACTGTTCATTTTGATACAGCCATTTCAACAAATACATCACATTAGACTATTATTTCTTAGGACCATAACAAATTATTGGTCAAGTACATCCTAGTCACAACCATATAAGATTCCCTTTGTGCATTACAAAAGCAAAATACAAAATTAAAGAAACTGACAACGCTACATATTCCAAGATAAAATTCAAACTACTTTTTGATTCAGAACAAAACAATTAGGAGCAAGCCAGGCTAAAGCCCAAAGTATTAAACCATCACTTCACTCTTATAATAATAATGACAAAAGCCTGCTCAGATTGGTCCCTCTGTTGCAACTTGTTAGCTAGATCATCATTAAATATATATATAAACAATATAATTTGTAAGTGACAGTATATATCAACAGCTTATACACCTATCTTTATGACTTATACTTAGTAATTCAATAATTTCTTTTGATTTTCCGAGAAGTTTTCATTGTAGTTGCATAACTGTACTTATATTAATCTCCTTTTTGTTTTAGGCAAATTTAAAACATGAGAGAATCTATGTTCTGATACATTGTTACCAGAAATACTGTATTCATAAAATGACATCCTATATAAATTTTGAATATTCAGTCTTGCCCAAAAAGACTGTTGACCTCCACAATTATATATATTTTGTGTTATAAACCCCATGTGTGGAATAAAATAGGCACTTGCCTATTTTAAGTTTTTACAATACAGTATACACATGAACAAACTATTTTTACACAACCACTGTTTACCAAGATAGATACATCCAAAATATTGATCATTACAATTGCTTTTTGTAAAATTTTACTTTTATGTAAAATTTTAAAATAATAATTTCATCATTTGACCATTAGCCTAGGTGTGTGTGTGTCAAAATTGAGTGTAAACCTAATCAAACTTCATTTATGTATGGTAATCCACAGAAATAGTGCAATAGTTACATAATGGCTGTATTCAAAGATGGAAAGACAAAGAAATGTACAAGATTATAATTTTAGTACTGTCTCGAACTTGAGTGGGAATAGGAACTTTGAGATGGATATGATGAAGATGGACCTGCTGTAGGATAGCTAGGATTAGCAGAAGTCGATGCAGCATAATATGAGGAGGAGGTAGACCCATGTGGAGGAGGGGGATAGTGGCTTTGAGGAGGGGGGTTTGCGGGTGGTGTTGGATAATGTGTTGTAGTGGATGGTGGATGGTACGAGGCAGAAGGATGACTTGTTGTGGAATAATGTGATGGAGGAGGTTGTGAGGCATAATGTGGCGTAGCAGCAGCCTGGCATGTAGCTGCAGAGGGAGGTGGGTAATGTCTTTGAGGCGGCTGATATGCTGGAGGGGGTGCCTGGGGTGGCGGGGCCTGAGGTGGTGGTCCCTGGCTAGTTGACGTAGGGTATGAATATGGATACCGCTGGGAAGTAGCAGTAGAAGTTGCCTGAGAAGAGCTTTGGGATGGATAGGAGGGAGGATAATTGGCATATTGGTATGGGTACTGGTAAGGCTGTGTTGGGGTAGCAGCCTCTGTCTTGGCTGGAGAAGATTTCACTTCTTCTTTCTTTGCTTTTTTGGCAGGAGGTAGAACTACACTACTGGTCTGTGTTGGTGTAGTTGGTCGTCGTGGAGCAGCTCCAGGCATGACAAGAGAAGTGTCAGCAGAACTTGAACCTGATTCAGATCGGTTTGGGGAATACAGATCTAAAACTTGGTGACATATATCTGAAAATAAATAATTATAATATAATGTTCCACCCTCATCAATCCACTGCTAAATGTAGCCTTAACCAATGCTGAGAGAAGCTAGTCAACAAGAAAGTATGCTCACTAAATTAAATGTTTTACAACCAACTGGGTTGTAGTGGATATGCGGACTACTGCGGATATACTACTATTGCGGACTGCTCCAGCTTGCCTGCTAGACCAAGTTATCACAAGTTGAGCTTGGCCCCAGGCCGGGCTCAGGAAGTAGAACTCCCGGAACCCTCTCCGGGTATGCTCCAGGTAATAGTAAATAGAAACTTTCTAATTTATACAGTATATACTTACACAAGATTTGAACAAATATTTGAAACCTAAGATGACTTTCCAAACCATTGGTAGAAAAGATTACTATTGCATCACCAACCGCCTTTTACCAAAGCAAATTTTTCCATAAGAAATAATGTAAATTGAATTAATCCGTTCTACACTCCCAAAAATATTAACTTCAAAGTAAATTTTATATCTAATTCACCCAAATTTAGTACTAAAGTATGTACAAGTTATTGCTTACCTTTATTGATGAATCTTGTTGGCGTATGGAAAACAATGGGGAGGGGAGGAGGAGAGGTGTTAGTGTTTGGAAGGGAAGTCCCCTTCCATTATAACATCAAGCAGTGATGACTTCTCTGGGGTACTCTCTCTCCTACGTTTTGCAGGAGTATCACTAGGACCTGGTTGTGGCTCACTGCTTGCTTGTTTTATTAAGAATCTGTCAAAGACACCTGTTTTTCCCTATGTTTTAACACTTGTCTGTATTGAGACATCACATTAGCATTTAAAAGGTCAATGCAATGGCCTGCTACAGCTTTATCTGGGCGAGTTTCTTCAACAAAACTCTGCAGTTCTTCCCATACTTCACACATTTTCTTAATGAGCAAGGGACATCCTCTACTGCCTCTACTCACAACTATTTTCTTAGGTTGAACCTTATCACTGACTTTCTTGGGACCCATGGCGAGATATATAACAATTACTTTTGCGTTCAAACACCCAAAAATCCAAAAAAACACTGAAATTCTTTACAAAGAATTCAGGCGCAATTGTTACCAGGCGGAAGGCATTGGTGAAACGAGGTGCAGTCGCCGTGCCACCACGCGCTAGGTCGGCCATACGCATATCAACAAAATAGCTACCCGAGGCAAAGTTCGTAACCCGATTCGGATTTTATGAAGAAATTGGGCTCGTAACCTGAAAAGTTCGTAAAGAGGGGCATTCGTAAGCCGAGGTGTCACTGTATACACATTTATCATGCACCACCACACACTGCTAGTAGTCCACCACTTCATCAAACTAGATGTACACTGTTCTCCTCGAATTGCTACACACATTATACTGTAAGTACATTCACTCCCTCCTCTTAGATGGATCTCACCATATTCAATGTGATGATTACACTCAATCCCCTGCTTTCTTACACTCACTAAATCAATCTATCTATCACTCTACCTCTCTATCTCTATCTATCTCTCTCTCTCTATCTATCTCTATATCTCTATATCTCTCTCTCTCTATCTCTATATCTCTCTCTCTCTCTCTCTCTATACATTCTGGTCTTCCTCTTTTTATCTTCAAATTTACTTAAATGCTCTGCATTTCATTTTTGTAATAGTGGTACAATGCACCAAAGCAATGAAATGACAACACAATATATACGTCCATTATCGGGGATATACTCTCTGGGTACAAAGAATACTCAGAAGACAATATTGTGGTGAAACTGCTACCTGACACACTAGGCTAAGAAATGATCAAGTGATCAACCAATCCAAGGAAAAAAAGGGGGAGGCACTGAATGAAATCCAACATACAAAAGCTGCATAAAATAAGGTCCTCTGAGAATGAAAAGAAAAATGGCTAACCCTTACCAAGAAGTCAGAGAGAGAACTAAGACAGGTGTCCCGTCTTCCCAGTACTCTTTGTCGTATACATCTTTGAAACTATTGATGGTTTTGGACTTCACCTTCTTACTAACTTGTTCCAACCATCTACCACTCTGTTTGCAAAAGAAAACTTTTTAATATATTTTCAGCACCTTATTTCCTTAGCTTGAATCTCTGTCCTCTTTGTTTGTGAAGTTACCTGGTTGATACCGGGTTGATGGGGTCCTGGGAGTTTTTCTACTCCCCAAGCCCGGCCCGAGGCCAGGCTTGACTTGTGAGAGTTTGGTCCACTAGGCTGTTGCTTGGAGCAGCCCGCAGGCTCACATACCCACCACAGCCCGGTTGGTCCAGCACCCTTTGAAGAAAACTATCTAGTCTTTTCTTGAAGATGTCCACGGTTGTTCCGGCAATATTTCTTATGCTCGCTGGGAGGATGTTGAACAACCGTGGACCTCTGATGTTTATATAGTGTTCTATGATTTTGCCTTTGAACCCCTGCTCCACACTGGTTCTATTCTGCATTTTCTTCCACATCATTCACTCCAGTATGTTGTTATTTTACTGTGTAGATTTGGTACTTGGTTCTCCAGTATCTTCCACCTGTATATTATTTTATATCTCTCTCGTCTTCTTTCTAGTGAGTACACTTGGAGAGCTTTGAGACGATCCCAATAATTTAGGTGCTTTATTGTGTCTATGTATGCCGTATATGTTCTCTGTATTTCCTCTATTTCAGCAATCTCTCCTGCTCTGAAAGGGGAAGTGAGTACTGAGCAGTACTCAAGACAAGTGATTTATCAAGACAGTACAAGTGATTTGTATAGTACAACCATTGTGATGGGATCCCTGGATTTAACCTTTTGACCTGGATTGACCTGGATTTGAGTTGCTGGTTTCAGGAATTCCTCTTTGTCAATTTGGTCAATTCCTGTTAGTATTTTGAAAGTGGTGATCATATCACCTCTTTTTCTTCTCTCCTAGTTTTGGCATGTTTAACACCTCTAGTCTCTCCTCGTAACTCCTCTTTTTCAGTTCCGGAAGCCATTTTGTAGCATGCCGTTACACCTTTTCCAGTTTATTTATGTACTTGCAGATGATGAGTCACAATAACATGACTGAAGATGTGAAGACTAAGCCACACACCAGAAGGTGAGGAGACGACAACATTTCGGTTCATCCTGGACCATTATCAAGTCGATTATGATAATGGTTATCCGACTCAATTATCACAATCGACTTGATGATGGTCCAGGACGGACTGAAACGTCGTCTCCTCATCTTCTGGTATGTGGTTTAGTCTTCATATTTATGTGCTTCATGAGATTTGGGTACCATACAACTGCTGCATATTCCAATTTTGGTCTCACAAAAGTCACGGACAGTTTCTTTAGTATTTCACCATCCATATAATTAAAAGCAAGTTTGAAGTGGGAAAAGAATGCATACGCTCCTCTCGAATGTTCTTTATGTTTTCCTCTAGTGACAGCTTACTATCCAAAACTAGCCATTGGGCCTCATTCTTTAATATTTCTGTACTGTAATTCCTTTCCACATCATTTGTAAGTTGTGTGTAGTCGATTTTCTCCTAATTTCACATTCCATAACATGGCTTTTATTCAACATTAATTCCATTTGCCAACTGACACTCCAAGCACTCATTTTATCTAGATCGATTTGAAGGGCATTACAATTGTCTGCATCTCCTATCCCCAGTATCTTAGCATCATCCACAAACATGTTTATATAATTCTGTATTCCTTCTGGTAGATCTTTTATATAGACGATGAACATTACTGGTGCAGGAACTGAACCCTGTGGTACTCCACTAGTAACACTCCTCAGTCAGATACACTGTCTCTAATTACCACTCTCATATGTCTGTCAGTTAGAAAACTTTTCATCGATGTTAGCAGTCTCCTTGTCACCTCTCCAGTATGTTTCAGTTTCCAGAACAGCCTCTTGTGTGGATCTCTGTCAAAAGCCTTTTTTTGGTCCAGACACAGTCAACTCAACCATCCTGTAGAATCTCTGTGGCTCTATCATAAAAACTAAGTACTATAGATTTATTACATAGGATCTTCCTGTTTGAAAACCATACTATCTGTCCGTTATTATATCATTACTCTCTAGGCATTCAACCCATTTGGTTTTAACTATTGATTCTAATGTTTTGACCACCACACTAGTTAATTATATGGGTCTATAATTTATAGGTTCCTCTCAACTACCATTTTTATAAATTGGTACTATGTTAGCCATTTTCCATATACAGTATCTGCTAAGATTCCTGTGCACAAGGATGTCTGGAATATTAATTGGAGTAGAATGCTCAGCTCAGTAGCACATTCTCGCAGCACACAAGATGAAACCCCATCAGGTCCAGCTGGTTTATTTCTTCCTAGCCCCTTGGTTATCTTTCAACTTTATCTTGGGAAACCTCTATGTATTCTAAGGCGTGCTCTGGAATTCGTATTGGGTCTGAGTCTCTGAAATCCTCATTTTGTACAAAAACACTTCGGAACTGTTATTTAACGTTTCTCACATTTCTTTTTCATTCTCAATAGTCCTGTTCCCCCATTCTCAATCTCTGGATTTTATCCTTTACGTGCAGCTGGTTTTTAATGAATTTATAGAAAAAGCCTGGATCTGTTTTACATTTGTCCACTATACCTTTCTCAAAATTCCTTTCTGCCTCTCTCCTCACTGTTGTGTAATTGTTTCTTGCTTGCTTGTTGTGATGGTATGTTTGGGGGTTAGGCCTCTTCCTCTTCCTATATTGAACCCATTTTCTTGTCGTTTCCTTTCTGGCTCTCTCAATTTCTGTTGAACCAATCCTGTTTTCTGGTCCTGCATATCTGTTTTGACATGAATATTTGTGTGCCTTCACCGTATATTTTGCAAAATTTGGCATACATCTCAATTACTTCCTTGCCGAGCAACAAGTCTGTTCAATTAAACTCATTAAAGAATTTTCTAAATTCCCCATAGTGTCCTCTCTTGAAATCTAGTTTATCAACTAGATACTGCATAATGTTTACATTCTCTTCTAAATTATATCGCAAAGCATACTTAATTTCCAACAGGACATATCACTCTTTCCCAAGGGAAGAAGGTACTGGATGTCAAATATGACCAAATAAAAAATATGTGCAACTGAGTCTATTGGGCTCTATCATATCTACATTTAAAACTGTGTATAGAGTCTGTCTGTGTGTATACCAGAAACTTTCCATACTTGGTCCTACTTCCATTTTTGCTTGCACAGTATACTATACCTTGTTAATAGCATCGAACTGGGACCTCAGATTTAGTTGTACAATGTTGTGCTGTTAAATATTAATCATAACTTGGCTGAACTATTTTCTCTATTTGATGCCCTTTTAAACCCTACAACTTGCTATGCAGGCGATGAGTCACAATAACGTGGCTGAAGTATGTTGACCAGACCACACACTAGAAATTGAAGGGACGACGACGTTTCGGTCCGTCCTGGACCATTCTCAAGTCGATTGTGACATTCTCAAGTCACAATCGACTTGAGAATGGTCCAGGACGGACCGAAACGTCGTCGTCTCTTCAATTTCTAGTGTGTGGTCTGGTCAACTACAACTTGCTACTTGTACTGCAGTAAAAAAACAGAACCTATTATGCTGTACTATTACAAAATATAATGAGATTGTGGTACCTTCTAACAGCTCCATGGAGATGCCTTCAACATACATGTCCCACCAACGCTGGTGCTTGGCATTTCTTCCATTCCAATCAGTTACCTCAAATTTGCTTAATTTTCCCGCAAGATACATAAGTGCAATAGCAATTATTTCTGGTTCCCACTGGAGGCATAATGTTGTGCACAGACTGAAAAAAAAAAAACATTGAATATAGTAATACAAATTGAATTGTACAAAAATAAAATACAGGTATTAATTTTCTGAGAAATGTAATAATGAAACTTATCATCCAAGAATCTTGGCTTAACCCTTAGATTGCGAATATTACCGCAAATATAGGGGGGGGGGGGCATAGTGAAAAATATTCAAATTATGTAAAAGTAACCTAAAAATGTTAAACAAATCTCCAACTTATTGGCTTCAGTGTCATGAAACTTTCAGCAAAATACTTTCAGAAATTGAATTTAGACGAATTTTTTAAAAACAAGAACGTTTTATTGATAAGGAGAACAGCTCCTAATAACTGGAACTGAAGGATAATGCAGTAATAAAGAGATGGAAGCACCTGTCCTATGCACAAAGAAGAACAATAGTAGTAAGAAGTGTCCACAAAGTGGATATGCAGTTGGTGCCTCTATATCATTGCTGAATAATACATAATAACACAAATAATAATGAATAACTATGTTAATATGATCTATTTTGTTATATATCATATAAATGCATTGTCCAATGTTAATATATGTTACTTTCATCAATGTCCAAAAAATAGTTTTTAGGGGAATTTTTTTTTTTTTAAGATTTTAGTTTTTTCTCCTTTGTTTATTATCTGATTTTGTTGTAACATTTACATCCTGGAAAATGCATATGTTTTCATAACTATTTGAAGGTAGAATGAAATTGGTCAACAAATAAATCAGTCACAACTCGCACAACTTGAGACTAAACTTTTTGGGGATGATTTTTTCTCTGATTTCAAACTCTATTTTCTTTGTCTCTTTAGGTTGTTTTGATGATTCGGATCCATATTAGGGCTTTTTAACTTATATAAAGTATACCCTAAATATATCCCCATAAATCATTATAATTATTATAATTATCCCTATATTGTATTTTTGGGGGTTATATTTTGATTCGGATCCATATTAGGGCTTTTTAACTTATATAAAGTATACCCTAAATATATCCCCATAAATCATTATAATTATTATAATTATCCCTATATTGTATTTTTGGGGGTTATATTTTGATTCGGATCCATATTAGGGCTTTTTAACTTATATAAAGTATACCCTAAATATATCCCCATAAATCATTACAATTATTATAATTATCCCTATATTGTATTTTTGGGGGTTATTTTTTCTTGATTTCATTTCAACACATATTGACCTACAACTATCACATATTCGAGTACGAATGCCAATGTTTATTAAAACATACAATTAAGTAATTATCAAAAGAAGGCACCAATCCGAGAAGGGTATGTAGCACCATCAAATGTGCGGGATAATCAGAGGACACTAAATATCACCAAGGATGCCAATACGAGAACAGAAACGCATATGGAGAACGATATCAAAAGTATCCGAGTCACCAAGAATTCGATCGAGGGACAAGCGACCGCGGGGGATGGTCGGAAAACAAGACACACGCTCATCCCGGAAGTCAGGACATTCAACAAGGATATGCACGGCCGTAAGAGGGACAATGCAATTTGGACAATAAGGAGCAGGGATGCGCTCCATTAAGTGACCATGAGTTAAGCGAGTATGGCCAATACGCAACCTCGCCAGAATTGTTTCCCATTGCCGGTTATGGTGGTAGGACGACAACATACAATTAAATTAACGAATTAAACCTACCTTTATTCATTGTTGATAACTTCAATTATCTCTGAAACCAGAGTTTCAACTTTGAGTGGCTTCTAAAATTCCAGTTATTAACCGATTCTCACTATTTTGACACATTGTGTGCTCAGCTGTCTATTTTACAATCCCATCAGAATGGATTTTTTCATAAACTTTATACATTTGGAGTTATAATTTTTTTTGTCTAAATTTGCCACATATTTCAAATGCCCTATTGACGATTTGTTTTACAGTAAACTATACTGAAAACTTATATTCTAATTTGATGAAAATGAAGATCATATGCTATTCTGAGAGAATAACAAATAACTAGATATCTAGATCTAGAGCAACAGCACAAGACCCTGAGATTTTGTCAGATATAGATTGTGTCTCCTCACCTCAAGGTAAGGTCAAGGTAAGGTGTCTGAATCCTTGTCTTCCTACAAGGCCTTAGCACAGTATTATAAATTGCAGTTCTCTACTATATTACCTCTCATGGGTGTCTCACTAAAGACAAAAAATAGTTTAGTTTTCCAACTATTGCACAATAGTCAAGCTTACATTAGAAACATGAACATGTAAGACATACCTGTCATTGACAAATGTCCAAGCCATTTGTACCATGTTGGGAAGTTTCTTCTTATCTCCTGTAAACAAAAATTAGGTTCACTACAGTGATAACTATACAGCACATTTACTATACATATATTTAGTAACTTTTTCAACCTCTACATACTCAAATTTACCATCATTATTAGCCCATTTTCACTTTCATAGGCCAGGAAACACTTGCCCACAATGAAGGGAGAAGAACTGTAGGGAAAAGAAGATTAAAAATACCAGAAATAATTCTGTTGGTCTCCTGGACATCATGCACAGCCAAGAACAGTTGACAATCTGCAACAAAACAGCAGGACTCTTCAAAGCACCATGCTGTGTCATACTGGTACAAGGAAGGGCAACAGTCAAGCTTGATCAAAATGACCTCTAGAATTCTCATTCATAAAAACTCAAAAGACCTTCCAAGAGCTAGTTGAGATCATGGAATCTACCACGCCATATTTTCCCTGTTAACTGGCCCAACTGGCCTGTCACCTATCCCAACAGTTTCCTGAAATGGGCCAGCTGACATTTTACCCAACATGAGTACCCTATAAAGCACAGCAGAAACAGGTGTAGAAGAATAGGAATGGGAAAAACCAAATAATATGTTCAGAAAGTAGCGTTTCATATACAGTACAGCAACGAATGCTCAAAACCTGTCGTAAGCCTATTTAGTCCAGTCATTATTGTAATGATTTGTATAATTTATTACAAATGAAGTTTCCGAGTCTGAATCCAAATCTGATTTCTGAGCTACTCCTTTAGACAAGTCGAAGTGGGAGGATGAAGATTACAAAACACACAAAGTGACCTGACTCGCCTGTGCTGCAAAGAGTAGCAAATGGAGCTGCAGTGAATGGAAGCCCTATACCCAGGCACTCAGAACCCCAGTCAAAGAGATGCCCATCTGGGAGAGCTGCCAATGAGCAGCACAATGACAGTGCAAGAAGACAGTCATGAGAACATATTGAGATGCAAATATATGATTATGGCTACACTTATAAAACCTCTGAGCTTTAATGTCAAAACAAGACATGATAGTAAAGAATGCCTTTACAGTGGCAAATGTCCACAGATCATAAGAACAAGAATAAATCTATGACCAACTAAGTTTCACCATTCTGCACAATAGCTGGGAGATCTATGCCTTCATACAAGGCATCATTAAGTATTCAAGATGGAACACAAGCGAGTGTGCAGTGGGAAACGGAGATACTGGAATAAAGCTGCAGCTGGACAGAAACGAGGCATTAAAATGAGGGATTACAAATAGGACAATTTTTAGCTAGCCTTAGTCAGAGAACCCTATTTATGTGCTGCTGCTGCCACAAGGTAGTGCTCTGAGGTACCCAAGTAGTGCTTGAAAGAGCATTGAATTCATATGAATAACCCTTCTATAGGAATCACACACAGAGATCACAATAACGTGATGCATCAAATGAACAAATCCACAGATTAAGGCAGTGTCTGGGATGCTCCCGGACGCAGGTTCGTATCCTCGTCACGGCCCTTGTGGATTTGTTCTTCTATAGGAACTTTTTAGGCTGAACTGAAAATTCTCCAATTTCTCCCTTGCAGTATGACCAAGAAAGGACATTTCAAAAGATTCCTTTTGTGCCAGTGCAAAATGTATACCTGCTCTGACTATGAATGATGCTCTCCAGAGGACCAGCAGAACCTTGCCTATGGGAGCAACTGAATGGTTTAGTTCACCAAGAAAAAATTAAGTTATTAACTAAACTAAATCCTATAAATTTTCAAACTTTTGTAGCATCGGAGAAAATTACTACCACACAATAAAATTAAAACCACAGCAGTTTCATAAACTAGGTACACAATGCTTCATATCAATTTTTCCAAATAAAATATCCACTCATACTCCAAACCAAATACAGTGCAACCTCTAAGTGACAAACTTAGTTTCGGCAAATCTCTGGTTGAAACACTGAATTTACAACCTGAACAGCCATACAACCTATATGACTGAATTTACTCGACTGCTTCGCTGAATACGAAGCAGGGATGTGCAGATTTGCTTAGGAAGAAGGCCCGAGTTCACAGACACGTGGGAAAGTTGCCCATCATATGATAGATTGAAATGAAAATTTCACTCATTGAAAGTAGCCCATAGAGCATGGGAGGTACTATAATAGGGAATAAATGGTACCTCTTTATATAGTTCCAATTATGCTTTCAATGATTTTCTTAGAAGAAAGAATTGGAGTCTTGAGAAAACTATTGACCATATTTAAAACTATATTCAATGGTTTATTTTCATTTTGAGTTGCCCCATATTTTTTTATTTTTTACTTGGGTATGGACCTAGCTATCTTTTAAAAGGAGGTTTCAATACTGGGTTGTGGAAAATAAGCTGCATGTGGCAAAATCTCTCTAAACTCAGGTTCTCCTAGTGGCAGTTCAGCATATGCTACTGAAATTCAAATTTTGCTTTGTGAAATTAGCTCAGTGAGGAATATTATGGTACAAATAGATATGGTAACATTCTAGATAGATATAAATAGATATGGTTAGTCATATTTTTTTTATTTTTTGAAGATGAATGAAACATTAGGAGAAAAACAGGCATAGCAATGCATTTTTTGTCTTTAAAAAGATTGCATTACCCAAATGCCTCTTGAAGGCATCTCTGGTTACAACAAATCTCCAAGTCCAATGAATTGGGAGGATTCCATATAATTCACCAAACTGAGGTTATACTGTACTACCAGTCCCATTTATTGCCACTTCTGGTGTTAATTCATCATATTTGCCCATTATCTTGACCTCTACCTTTACCCCTGAAACTGACTAACAATGTACTTCACTTACCCCTCAAATCCCAACCCAAATTTAAGGGTCACAGATAGTACTTAGTACTATGATAGAAACATAGTATTTTTCCTAAAGATCACCATCCACAATTCTATCCTCTTAAAATTACATTTGCCTTTCAGATTGTCCACCTTCACCACGCTACTTCTTATGTTTCGTGTTCATGCCGGGGAGGTGTTTCACATCTGACAACAAAAACACTATTGTGCCTCACCACGGCATCCTCTGCACCGGGCACTCACTTTTCTTGATCAACTTAAAATATACAAATTCCACTTTTGTCAAAACACATCCAAGGCACTTCAAACTTAACAGCAAAATCCAATACCTTCCCATTTGACACACACTTCCACAAAGATGTATGTTTTCTCTCCAATATTATTAATATAGTTTTGGTTGCCCCTTTGTGATCTTGATGTGGTTCCGAGATTCAATGTCCTCACTACATTTTCTACCTTTCCTCCCACATCTTGAGACCTTTCAATTATCTCAGTCTGTCAGATATGTCTTTGGCATATGTTTGATACGCTGTGCTCTATTTATATTACTGAATGTACTTTCACAGCTTTCTCCTTATACATTTACCATACTTGTTTCAAACAATTTTAAGAATGGAATAGTAAGGCACCTACTGAAACAAAAAGAATTAGTGTGTATGCACTGAAGTATGTCATTATCTAGTTATCATCATCTACTTGTAGATACAGGAAGAGAGCAATGCTTGCTGTTTACGAGTAAATACACTTCCATTTGTTTGTTCATAACCTTCTACAAATTTATATTGAATGTGGTCAGGATATTCCAAATATGTCTTTTCTAACAATTTGGACATATCAAAAACCTATAATTTTTCCCTTAGAACTCATCGCTCTTTGCTCTCAGGCATTCACAATCTTGCATGCCTTCGGACTTTTGTATTTTAATTGCATGTTTCCCCACCCCTCTCAGTACCATCACGTGTAATTTTTCCAGAATAAATTCCATTGCCAATTTGCTGCTATTTCCTTACTCTATTGAAGTCTAATTGAAGGGTTTAATGTAATGCTGAAGAGTATTTTACTTTATATGCACATTTTCACATCAACAAACCTATTCATACAACTGCTCTCACCCTCTAGGCACAAATAAGTTATCTATATAAGGAACAAACTTAGGTCCAACACTGATCCTTCTAGAATCCCACTTAACTATTCCCTACCAGGTTGAAAATTTTTCTCACTCTTCCTATTTTTCCTTGAGACAAAAAATCTCCCATTCATTTTAGTAATATGCCACTCCCTTCTCCCCCTTCTCTGGGAGGGCCACTCACAGCCTCCACAAGCCAAACATGGGTCCAGCCAAGCCTCCTAGATCTTCCCCTAGTCTATTGGGAGTCAGGGTCAGAATCTGGTTCTACAGGATGAGGGATATTTGGGGATCAGAGGTCTGCCAAAAACCAAGAAATAACCCAATAGAAAGCATAAGCACAATAAATCAAGCCATTACTTTTAGAAAATTTGGGACCCCTCAGGTAACAAGGCAAACAGTCATTGTTGAGGTGTAAACATTTTAGCTGCAATGAGCCTGACCAAGTAGTTTCTGGTAAAAGTGCCCAGCTGTGCCATAGCAGTTTCTTTTAGGCCATATTTTTGGGCACTTAAGGAGGTGTCCGGCAGTATCCAGGCTGTGTATCAAGTTGCATTCCAAGAGCTTCCTGAGCTGTGAGTACAGCATTTGTTGGGCTGTGCCCTAGCACAGATGATTTTGCCTCGAGATTTTTCTTGTTCCATGCCTTCGAGGTTCTGAGCTCAGGTTTGATTGGTTTCCTTCATTTTGGCAGCTGTCTCACTGGGCTGGCTGTTTCAGTGGTGCTGCTTTGCCTGTGGATTTGTTAGTTGCCTAAGTTCCTCTATTCAAGGACTTGGGTTCAAATAATTGGTTCCCAGGGCTATGGACTCAAGTTTAGGGACTCTGCACCCAAATGGTTTTCCAGGCATTCCTCTGCTTTTCATGGCTGTTTACCTGCTGATTGGACTTGGGAGCTTATCCTAAATGGTCCACCTCTAATGTTGTTCTTTGGCTCTGTCTTGGATGTCCCACAGCCTCTCAACGCTTGTGTTTGTGCTTCAGCATTTGGCAGACAATGGGTGCTCTTTACCACAGGCCTTCTCCCATGGCCAAGCCCTGGCCACATTTTGGGCACATTTTTCTGTTTACTGATTTGTCATTTTCCCAGAAATGCAAGCAACCTCTCCCAAGATGCTATTGTGAGTTACCATGGGAGAGCTACCGAAGGAGCCCTCTCTCAAATCATTATGCGATGAAATGCTCTTTTATGGTGGAACCCTTAATAGCTCCAGGGCATGACCTTGTTCTCTACTTTTTCTTGTGGGAGTGGAGTTCAGTTTGAATGGTTCATGAATAACCCAAGTTGATCTGATTCCCACACTCCCTTCGCTTGACAGCATCAGTTTTTAGTCCTGGCTCCCAGTAGGCCATTGTGAATCTCAGAGGTGTGGTGCATTTCCCCGAGGCTTGTCTGGCCCACTGCTGAACTCTGGGAGGTACTGTACTGAGGTACATCCCAATAAAGTCCCAACCTTTTTACTTAATGCACCATCTTGTATATAATAAAGACTTGATAATACTGTTTATACATTACGTTTGCTCATACATACCAATAAGTTTTTTTATCCTGTCTTTCATTGCAGCAGGAATTTGTCCCAAAACTAAAAAGTTGGAAAAAAAATAAAAAATAAAATAAAATTTCAGCAAATGGTCATGATTTTTTTTTTGGAGAGGAAACGTGTCAACATTCAAGACTTGGGTACAGATACACTTTACACTATACCGATACATTAGTATAATGATACACCACTGCTAGTTACTCCTAAAATTGAAAACCTACCTGCCGTCTTCATCAGCATAGGAACATTCACAAGCCCACCTGGATTCGCCACAAAGAAAACAGTGAAGAATATAATTTATTTTTAGCTTTAAAATATTATATCATTTATTTTTAGCTCTAAAATATGAAGTAATATATATAATATGAAGGTTATGAGGGGTGGGGGGAATAAAGTTAGTGGGGTACTAGATTATGGATAATAATATAAACATAACTTTTGTTTCCCAGGATTAAAAAAAAAAATGATGATGGGTAAGGGGGTGGTTCCTTTGAGCAGGGTTCTAAATGATAAGATGCTAAAAGAAATGATTGGAAGATATACTTCCAATGGTGTTTGGGGACCAGAAAACAACATAATGTGGGAAGAGGTAACAACCAGGTAAACTCCAGGTTGATGACACACCTTGTATATACAGTACAAAAACATTACAACAGCAACAAATCATTAACTCCATATAAGGTTTCTTCTTTAATGAATGAATTAGGCAAGTGAACCCCGCACGCATTAAGTGGGGTTCGAATCCTCCTTATGGCTCCTACTGATTTTTCTCATTGATACATCATCATAATGCGATTTCATTGTGCATTTGATGAGAAGCATTGGAGAACTACTGAACCAATAGCCAGAGTGCATGGGAGCAATGCTTAAAACCCCGATTGGGTTTCAGTTGTAAGCCTCAGAAATCCTAGAGAATTCAGTGGAATCCCAGGTGTCTTATTTTCATTTTCAATGGTCTTGGTCAGGCTCTGATCTCCTCAAGTCAGAAAGAACACACCTTTTTTTTCTGAAGAGGTGGAGTGCTTGGTTATTTGGACTTGCTCTAAATTTGCTCCCCCACTCCACCCCTCCTTATCCTTTTTATCAGGTGTAAGCTGTACTGATGTGGTGTACAAGGCCTCCAAGTTTCTGCATTTGCTGCAGGCTTCGAAGTTCAAGCCTTCGAGGTCTATGGCTCTGTCGGGTTTGGGGATGGCAGTGCCACTTTGGAATGCCCTGTCTGGGGCTGTGGGAGTTATGCCTGGTACCCTGTTGAGACACTATTGCCCTCTGCTTGTTTGGGTGAAGCCAATGGGTTCATTAAGCACAGTCTCTCCCTCATTGTGGGATGCCTTTCCCCCTCTCTTCTTCACAGTCATCTGGTAGGATCCTAGTTCTACCCAGGGGTCTGTGGTTCACATGTGATTTATAAGGTGGTCAAGTTTAGCCAGCCTGATGTCTATCCACAGGCCCATGACATCTGCAAGTTTGCGGTGCTGTCCAACTTCTTTTCCACACATATCTTGGAAGACATTTAAGCATGGGGTATATAGCATTCTTGTAGCTCAGTACTTGGTCAATATTCTTAGGGAACACCAGGCTTGAATGAAATTGGATAGGTTGACCTGGAGCTGATTTCCACTAGTTACTGGCATCTCGTCCCTTCTTATGGTATACCTTGAGGTTATCTTGAGATGATTACGGGGCTTAGCGTCCCCACGGCTCGGTCCTCAACCAGGCCTCCTTTTTGTTACACCCCCCGGAAGCTGCCCGTAGCAGCAGTCTAACTCCCAGGTACCTATTTACTGCTCGGTAACAGGGTGAAAGAAACTCTACCCATTTGTTTCCGCCTCTACCGGGGATCGAACCCGGAACCTCAGGACTACGAATCCAACGCGCTGTTCTCTCAGCTGTCAGGCCCCTGACATGCCATTAATTTTTTTCTTCTCTGTGGGGAGTTAGCTCAGAGAGATGAGGGCAGCCCTCTCAAAAATCCAGTGGTGAATGTAATGAAATGCCTTTTTCTGGTGGGGCCCTTGGTTGCTTCCTGGTGCTAGCCACCTGGATAGCTCTACACATTTCATGTCACATCAAACTCTTGCATGTCAGAATATCACCTACCATAAACCAGAGGTCAAAACTTGGTCCACTCAAATAGATGCAGGGGAACAGTGAACTCAAACTAGCTCACCCAGACCAAGAGAAATTCAGCAGAAAGGAAGAAAAAATCAAAAGAAACAACAGTAAGGAGATATCAGCAACCATGACAACAAGGAACACAGTAATTAGGTACACACAGAAATCACAACAGCGTGATATATCAAACGACCAAATCCACAGAGACTAGGCGAGTACAAGGACAGTGATGAGGGTATGAACCTACGCCTGGGATGATCCCAGACGCGCTTTAGTCAACTGTGCCACAACATGGTTAAAAGAATTGCAACCTGGAGTGCTACTGCCCTCACGAGGATCCCGAAGCTTCTCCAAAGCACAAACCGGGGTTTCACACAATTTCCCCATGCACCCAGACTCTGTCAACCAGATGTTCTACCTCTACGTCCTTACTTCAATACACACAGAAATCACAATAGCGTAATACATATCAAATAAACAAATCCACAAGTGCCGTGATGAGGATTCGAACCTATACCCGGAATGATCCCAGACGCGCCTTAGTCAACTGTACTGTGCCACAACATGGTTAAAAGAATTGCAACCTGGCGTGCTACTACCCTCACAAGGATCCCGCAGCCTTTCCGAAGCACAGGACGCAACTAAGGCACGTCTGGGATCATCCAGGGCATAGGTTCATCACGGCCTATGTGTATTTGTACAGTAGTTAGGTTCTTACTCCAATAGTTACACATCCCCACTCCACCAAGGGGACCACTCTGTGTCACTGAATTAGATATGTACCACCCAAAACAACTGAAGACCCTGACAAAGGGTGAGAAGAGAAAGCTACCTATGAACCCACCAGAAAAAGGCATCTCATTACATTCAATGCTAGATTTCTGGGAGGGCTCTCTAGTGCTATTTCAGCAGAGAACAGAACACAAATGAGGCCAGCAATGGTCTGAGTGGGGTAGCATTGACAAACCCCTAAAGAAGGGAAGAGCAATGCCAGGAAAGCTACCAAATTCAACAGGCTCAGCACTACCAAAACACACTAGATTGAAGAGCAGCACAAGGCACTTCAGAAAAGAAGGTGGATAGACCTGCATACCATGGGCCTGCAGGGAGGCTGCAAGCCACAACAGTGAAACGACATTACAATCAACTAGAAAGAAACAAATTCCCCCCTCACCCCAAAATATACAAGAAACCAAGGCCACCAGACCAAGAGGAATGCAAGAAATGGAGGACTGCCATGACCAGGCAACAAGTGAAGCACCACTGGCCAAAATAAGAAGTGCCCACACCCGGGCCAAACAAAGACCCAAAGAGCAACAAAACCGAAGAAAGGAAAACCAGAAACAGCACCCCTGCCAGAAAGGAGCTGAGGTACCAAAAACTGGACAGAAGTGAAAGAATACAGATCTTTGCACCAAAGTGGAATAACTTAGGACTGAACCTCACAAGGAGATGTAGGAACAGAAAAAATGAGCAGGCTAGGACCACCGAGCCAAAAAGCAAGAAACCACAGATGAGTCAGCCACTAAGGAGCCATAAGGATCACCTATTGACTCCAGACCAGCCGAATGACAACCGCTGCAAAAGCCTCACAATCCAAGAATGAGACCAACAGATTAAGGAAGCCACGTGGCCAACATGAAGATGGACTACTAGAGTGCAGTCGAATGTCTCACAAAACCAACGGGAGGACGCATTGATGATCAACTACCCCGCGGCAAAGGAATGATACCCTGAAAACGCACGCAACGTAGCGGTCGCTATTATCATCTTGTTACAATGTGCTAGAAAGTTGTTATAACTTGTTCAAACTCTTGTAGCAATGACACAGTTTTGTCGTGTGTTTGCTGGGTAGAGACCATCTGCAAAAACAGTGAATACATCCCACACTTATATTGCACGGGGAGGAGGGGGGCAGAGCCTAGCTTTACGGAGGAAGGGACCAAAGTGACCGCTGGTGATGCAGATAATGAAATGCAGGAGCAGTCATATATTTCTGGATATAGTATACATACATACATACATACATACATACATACATACATACATACATACATACATACATACATACATACATACATACATACATATATATATATATATATATATATATATTGAATATGTAATACAGTAATATGTAATAATTCTCATGTAGCTTATTTTTATTATCTTACACACTTTATGATGGCAAAGTGCCAATATGACCAGATTCAGATGTAAACAGGCAGCAATGAGTCAGTGAGGGCTGGTGGAGGCCACTAATGCATGCTTGCCCAATTTTAGTGATGAACTATTACTCATGCAGTCAGAATTTTGTTATCTCTATGATACTTGCATTCATAAACCTTGTATTGTATATTGTATTTCTTCTATATTTAAATTTATCTAGTGAGGTAAATTCGACAGGCTTACTTAGTTAGGTTTAGATTTTTTTTGTGAGGGCAGTGCAGAGATTCCTCAGTTAATAGGTATAGGCCCCCCCCCATCCAGTTAATAGGGGGGCAAAGAACCTGATTTTTCTATGTCCAAATAATTAGAAAATCTGGAAAGCTGGGATCCAGACAATGGGGGTTCCACTATACTAGCAGAAAGTCAGGAAGCTGCAAACTCAATCCTGAATGAAGGCCCAACACGTGAAACATTCAGGAGAGGACACCATGGAAAATTCAGGTGGGGGCCAGAAAAACCAAGCCCAGAACAATTTTGTTCTGGGCTTGGTTTTGGAACAAACACACACTCAATTTTTCAGGCAAAAAATATTGGGAAGAACAGTGCAAAACATGAAAGCTGGCTATGATGGTCACTATCCAGCACTCTGGAAATCTGCAAATGCTGCATCCTCAATCCCAAGGAAAGTTACAATGTCCAGATCATGCAGGAAGTGAAGAAAACCATAAATCACATTAGGAGGAGCCAAACACCAGTTGGCATCCCAGAAAGCTGTAGGTAGCAGCACACTAAAATCCAAATGATACACTAATGCTTATAGCATTCACAAAACAAGGCAAACTGCCTAAATGCAATGCTAAAAACCTTCCTCAGAGTCGAGCCTGCAGAAGGAAATCCAGGTGAAATATCTGGATATTAAGGCTGTCAATGACCGGACTATACCCTGGGACACTGCATGAAGCAGAACCTCCAATCCCAAGTGAAATACCACAGGGTTATATACAGAAGTAGGCAAAAGACCACATGCAATGCAGGAAAGCACAGGGAAGGCCATCAATGACAAAACCCTGGAAGGTGACACACACAGCAGCACACTCAATCTAAAGTAGAGAACCAGTGTCTATAACACCTAGCATGCTAAGTAGGCAACATGCCCCATGGGAAACCCATTCCCGGATAAAACTGAAGAAGACCCAAACATGACAAGTAGCAGGGAAAAAAATACCTGACAGCACCTAGGCCAGTAACACGAAGCAACAAAATGAAACCTAAGGGAAGACTAAATGTTTACTATCCCATAATTTGGAAAGGTGGCCCCAGAATGAAGTCCAAAGAAGGAAACCCAGGGTGCATGACCTGACCAGCAGAAATGACCAACAGGAAACACCACAAAAGTTGCAAAAATTAGTTTACTCAATCAATAGTGATGGCAAAATACAGAAGAGTAATTAGGCAATAGCCTATCTTGAGGTTATCTTGAGGTGATTTCAGGACTTAGCGTCCCTGCGGCCCGGTCCTCGACCAGGCCTCCTTTTTGTTACACACCCCCAGAAAGCAGCCCATAGCAGCTGTCTAACTCCTAGGTACCTATTTACTGCTAGGTAACAGGGGCATCAAGGTGAAAGAAACTCTGCCCATTTGTTTCCGCCTTCACTGGGAATCGAACCCGGATCCTCAGGACTATGAATCCGAACCGCTGTCCACTCAGGCTGTCAGGCCTAAGCCCAACTGAAGAAACATATCCCAGAACAGTCTGAGGATCTGGTTATAAGACTTGTCTCCATGAAAGAGCCCTGCTGAACTCTGTCAAGCAGTCACTGAATGAAAGCAAACGGGAAACTAACAAGTAATGAAAATCCAATATGATTTTCAAGTGTGGGTGCCACATCAAGCCTTATTACATTGGTAATAGTAACAGCTTTCCATTTTATGGAAAGAGAAAATTTAAGTATTTCTGCAAATAGTGTAACAACTGGCAGGTGATGCAAAGAAGCATATGTTCACACTTTTTTTAAGAGTATGGTATATAAGTAAAATCAGTCATTTTATTAATAATCACTTCCAACATTTGCTCAACATTTGTATTCTTATATTCAATATGTAATGTTTTATGGAACACACAACTAAAAAGAAAAGAGCAGAGGGAACAATCTGACTTGTTGGTACTGTAACACATTGTTTACCATGAATGTGGTTCATAATGATCCCTCCAAGTGCCATCTTACAGTGATAAGAAAATGGCAGACTTGGCTACTTGCCTCTGGGTTGACCTTACCACAAACTAGGGAACTCGTCATAATGACCAAACCAGCAAAATTTACATACCTCGATATACGAGTGCTCTCAAAAGCAGTGTTGGGTCTTTGTAGGCGATTAAAAATCCTTCTAATACACTAAACTGTACAGCAAGATGTTGGTAACAAATTTCTGCCCATCCTATCTTCCAAGTATACCCTTATGGCAGTCAGCTAGAATAATTTCAAGCTATTTTCTAGAGCTCAGAATATATAACTGTACTCACCTTTGAGACATTTTGCATATTTCAGAAGATAGGTGTATGGATGCTCAACAATAAAATCAAACTTAATAGTCTGCAAGAGGATTCGCTCCAAAGTCATAACCTGAAAAACAGTGATTTAAGAGTTCCAAGTCATATACAGTAGTATTATTTGTAAATAATATTCTTCAAAACTTAATTAGTTTTATACTCTACTGACATTACCAAGACAAAACATTGAAATGTATATATGGGTGTTACAAAATAAAGACAAATTACCTAAATGGGTGTTTTTGAATTTTTGTTGAAGCAAGACTGCTCTTTATCATAGCCTATCGACACTTCTCCACACATTATACACATTTATATATAAACATTACCAATAACACGCTTCCCACTTTCACAGGTAGTGATACATCAGCCCAGAGAAAAATAAAAGAAACATTGTAAAGGATTATAGATATTAAACAGAACATTCAAAATATCACTTCACTCATTATATCATTTCCAAATAATATATGATATAGTATCAGGTAAACAAGTACTAACACACTACAATATCATAAGACCAGGAATACAGTGCAACTCATAAGATGGCATAGATATTTCATACAAATATAAAAAATAAAAAACCAGCAGTGAATGTAATGAAACGCTATTTTCTAGGTGAGCCCTGGAGACTCCCTGGAGCTATCGAACTGACATTAGCTATATTAGTCTGGGGCTTCAGTCATAGGAAGTTCTTGCCTACTGGGAACCACAAGCCAGCACCTGGGAGAGGGAAGAGGAAGCCCCTGCCCCATCGAGCCAGCCGCTAGGCCGTCAGTTCAGAGACTGATCAAATGAAAATAAAGACCGCCGAGCAGAGGGAAGGAGGGTACCAGGGAGCCTCCGGGACTCACCCAGAAAATGGTGTTTATTCAGTGCTATTTTCTGAGGGTAGCCCCGTCGGCTCCCTGGAGCTAGATACCCAGAGATTAGTAAAAAGAGAGACTAACAGCATGCCTCATGACGAAGACGGGACAACTGACTGCAACCGACGGCCCAAGGCCATACAAAAACCCAGAGGGCCTGGAATATTCACGAGATAATGGGTGGCCAGATCCATGTTTGACCTCCAAAACCCATGTGCCCAAATGTCAGCCCAAGACATGTTCCCAAAAACAGCAGCGAGAGCCGCAAACTTTCAAACATCACAGGCACGAGGGTAGACTGCAGACTAGCTAGACTTGATAACCATGCAGACCACCTGAGAGACCCGAGCTCTGGAGCAGGGAACGAGGGACATCGAGTCAACCCAAAGCACATCCCTGGACACAGAACTCGAGGCGCACAGGCAATGGCGTAAAGCTACAACCGGACACAAAACATGATGCACCCCTAGCCTGACCAACAAAGCAGAAAAAACCCATGGACACCTCCAGAAGCCCGCAGTCTCATTCTTCGCTAGAAAAGAAGGAGATGGCTGTAAACGAACAAAACGTCCACTAGGACCGAAAGAGCAGAAACCAGTGTCAAGGGAGAGCAGGAAGTCCACCAACTCGACCCCCAGAAGCCAAACCCAACAAAAACAAAGCATACGGAAAGCGAACATGAACCAAAAGGGCCACCACAAACCGAGGGGAAGTGAGAAAAGAGAGCACCCGGTCCAAAAACCAGGACGGCTAAGACAGCGCATGAGCAGGCAGGTGGAAAAATGCATGTGAAAGCTTACAGAACAGAGCAGAAGTGATATCCACCCTGAACGCAAGCTAGAGCGACCCCACCAGTGCACCACGATAAGAGTTGACAGATGCCGGTCCTGAAAAAGCCAAGAAAGGAAGGACAAGCACAGCCGCTCGAGCAACCGCCTAGTGACCAGGCACCCCCTCAAGAACAGCCGAAGGCAGGACTGCAGCTGGAGCAATGCCGCTGGGGCAAGAGACATGGACGCTGTCCGAGAATACCAAATAAGGCCCAGTCTAGTCCAAACCTGGGACAGAACCAACTGGGACTTCCAACAAACTACCAGGAACCTGAACTTGGCAAGCTGGGAAAGAATTAGAAACCGGCAAAGCAGAGCTGTTGATCGGCAGGAAGCCTACACTAGGCAGCCATTGAGGCAGGATGCCAGCCAGGAAAACACCAGAATGGAGGATTGCAACTGATTAGAGTAAGAGAAACCAAACTCAAACAAAAACTGGACCAACACAGAACTGGGTCTTACAGGAGGCACAATAACCATGACTACATGTGATTATCAAAACCAATAAAATCACTGAATGAGAGCACAATATACAACTCCTGAGCTTCCCACTTTTTGCTTTTCTTACTTTCAGTTCTTGTTTACCTCAAAATGATTGTGTTTGTGCCCATGATTATTTGTCCTTTAATATTAGCTACATTCTTTTATTAAACAGATTTCTTATATTATCTTCAATGTTGACAAAACACATACTATTTACCATGTAATTCCATTAAAATATAAAACAATTAGTAATACACCGAAACCCTAGATACACAAATTCACACATCACTGAGGTTTTTTTATTATTACTTTATGAGAAGCTCTGCAAAACTATGCCTTACAAGAAACAAACTACAGCATGATGGTCATATCTTGTTACGACCCTGGGTACAATATTACACTGTGGCAATTGGTCCAGGATCGTGTGGCAATTGTTTACCTTTGAAATAGGGACCCTTCACTTATGTAGGTATTTTAGTGTGATAGGCCATGAATGTGTTGGATTAGTGTTACAGTATTTAAATTATAAGAGTTTTTAGATAGGCTTGGTTAAAGGAGGAGCATTATTGTCTGATAGTTTACACACAGGATTGGTTCCCGAAATATGCAAATGGCAGGCGATCAAGTTCATGCCAGACTTTAGTTCATTTTGATGCCCAGCTTTGTAGTTACCCTGCGATAATAATTTGTTAGTGTATTGTAAAGCTAGGATGTTATATTTATACTTAGAATTGTAAGGTGGCAATTAAATATGGTATTAGAGATTCGAGTTAATTACTGTACGATCAGTTGACCAAGAGAGGACCTAGAACAGTGAGACGTGGGTGTGGCCTCCTACCTCCTAATCTACTTCTGTAAAGTGTAAAGTGTAAAAAGTGTAAAGTGTAACTAAGTACCATTACCACGTGTCACCCTTCTGTTCTAAGTATAATCTTGTCAGTGTACCATAGTCATATCCTGGAGTTCTATGTAATTGATCCAGGTACTGACCAGTGAACACGTGTCTGATATAATTATATGTTAAAGTTAAATTGTCCCTTAAGGAATCGTAGACTTTACCATTAGTTTTCTGTATGTGAATCTCATCTCCTGCCTATGTGGAGTCAGAGATGTAACAAGATCGAGATGGTAAAGTATTTCTGTTGTACTTCGGGGTTTTAGGGTTAATAAACTGGGGCCAGATTCACGAAAGGAGTTACGTAAGCCCTTACGAACGTGTACATCTTTCCTCAATCTTTGGCGGCTTTGGTTACATTTATTAAACAGTTTACAAGCATGAAAACTTCCCATTCAACTGTTGTTATTGTTATAAACAGCCTCCTGGTGCTTCGGAGCTCATTAACTGTTTAATAATTGGAAACAAAGCCGCCAAAGATTGAGAAAAAGATGTACAGGTTCGTAAGTGTTTGCGTAAGTGCTTTCGTGAATCTGGCCCCTGATACAGTATTGTCAAACAGAGTATCAATCACCCCTATTGCTTAAGGTTAGGTGATCTGCTTTAGATGACAGACCTTATTTATCTTATTTTGTTGGAAACTGTTTTCCTAGGGGCTGGGCTTTTCCTCAACCCCTTAGGTGGTACTCTAGTACCTAGTTTTAACCCTAGCAGTTCCCCCAACTTATAACACATCTTACCTCTTCACGTGGGTCTGTGCCAAATTCTGCCCAGGTCACTTCATCCATTAGACTTTTGGCAGTTTTCATAATGTCACGACACTTCTTGGGAGTTTCCTCAACCTTGCCAGCAAGGAAAAGGCAACAGCAAGCTGTAACCTGTAAGAAATGTGCAAACTTAGAAATCTACTCTAACTTTCCTAACAAGTGTTCAAATATAGTGTATTAAGTTATTACATTACAATTGTGTACCGTATTAAAGAAAGTTTAAAAAATTAGAGCATTGAAACATATTTAACATGTGTTTCAGTCTGCTTGTGTATCATTTTCCAAAATGAACTGGAGCTGAGCAGGTAAGCAGTACCACTCATTAATGTTTTTACTCATTGTAATCTGTATCCATTTTTGCCCTTTATATATAAAAATCCAAGTAAAATTACACAAATAAATTCTTTATACTGTACTGTATTATGTACAAAATAATTTATGTGAATCTTTGAACAGTAATTACAGTTTTCAGGTGGTTATGATAATGCAGCATCAGCATAGACTCTATACCTTGCTAATCACAAAACAACACTATATACTGCAGAACCAAATCATGGCACAAGTCCCTGAGCCAGGAGATAATAAGAAAACACTAAATGAATTAAGCCACACATCAAGAGAACATAGAAAAATAAATGAGACATGATCACCAAATACAAAACACTCAGGGAAATTAAGTGCAGACAAGGATATATTATAGTACTGTACTGTACCAGGGTACTATAAAGTAGGAGACATACAGCGTTTAATACCATATTAAAACCTTACGTGTCTTGGGAAGGACTGAAAAGTGTGGACCATGTAGAAGCGGTGGAAATAAACAACACCTGTTGCCATAGTTTCATAGCGCAGTCCCATTTTGTTTCCAACCTGGAGAATGAAGCGAGCACCTTCGCGACGATACTGTACTTCCTGATCGACACTGAGACCTGCAATGATGCTAGGAGTGTGTCTTAATTCCCGTTTCTCATAGTACCAACCAGACAGCTGTTGAAAGAATAACTGGGATTAGTACTGTACCTACAGCATTTAAGAATACTGTATATACACAAAATAAAATATAAGACAGAACTTTGTTCTGTCTGCATTTTTAATTACCGTACAGTAGAAAATTTGCAAATATGTAGTCTAAATTCACAAAAAAGTAATCAGGTCTTGGCCTTGTCCTAAATAATTAACCATGTGCTAAAATTAAAAATTTTGGCCAATAATGGCTTACAGTACTATAGTACTCTTTTGTATTTCTGTAACTACAGTATGTGTAAAAAGGTAAAAATAATAATTTATCCCAACTATTAGCACGTGATAGAACTCTGGATGCTGTAACTATCATCATCTCTGCAGGTATTACATGTACAACATCCAAGCTAGTGTCATTTTATTCTCTCCTTGTTCAATTCATACTACAAATTTTCCAGTAACTTAATATAATTATTTTTTAGTCCAATGAGAACATCAATAAGTGTCTGGAGACAGGCAATTTTACCCTATAATGTAAACATTGTGCTGCCTGCCCCAGAACACTAACATACAGGGAACAAATATTTTCCGATTATAAAAATTGGTGCGCGATATGAAACATTATGTAAAAGTGTCCTGAGCTACACAAGGTGTTTCTAATCTATGTTGTTTATAGTAGTCTGATTTCAATTCTATAGGCCTATGCTATTTTAATTTTCAATTATTTTAATACCAAATTGTGTATAGTAAACTTCAGTATATGTGTACAGAATATGCAAATTACAGAATATGCAATATACAAAATATGCAATATATGAAAAATATTGAATGAAATACTGTATACAGAACATGCTATACATAGTCAAATGCTAACTGTTTAAATATCTCATACATAAGACATCTGTCTTAATTTATGTTTTATTATGGAATGCATACTGTTAATAAATTCAATACGGATTACATAGCACTTAATTTAATGATTAGTATAAAATATGACTGCTCGTAGACCAAGTGATCAGGTAGCTTGTCTTTCTTCCCCCATCTAGTCCGTTCGCTCCTCTGTATCTGATAGTTTTCCTCAATTCAATATTTGAACAGCCTGTTAAAAAAACCTGCAAAACCTCAAAACCTGATATGGCTTGTGGTATCAGTTTGTCATCTCAAATTGGGATAAAAGTGGCAATAACTGAAGATTTGAAGATAACCCATAACTTTGTCATGGGTTCGTATCCTAGCCGGGGAGGATTTACTGGGTGCAAATCCTTAACTGTAGCCTCCGTTTAACTCAAAAGTAAAATGGGTACTTGGTTGTAACAACGATTCTTAGCGGTGGGGATCGTATTCCAGGGACCTGCCCAAAATGCTACGCGTACTAGTGTCTGTACAAGAATGTAACTACTCTTGGATATATCTCAAAAAAAAAAAAAAAAAAAGAGCAACCTAAATAGAATGGCACAAGAGGTAGGAATAAAATGGCAGACAAAGTCCGTAGTTACCAACAGAATGTCCCAAGCCGGGAAGACTGTGTAGTAATCTTACTATACTGCAAGATGCATTAAAATGGCATTCAAGTTAGCCATCTATAAAATAATAATAAAATAAATAAATGTTTATTCAGGTAAAGTACATACATACAAGAGGTTTTACAAAAATTGATAGATTTATAGATAGAGCTAGTACATACAATGCCTAAAGCCACTATTACGCAAAGCGTTTCAGGCAGAAAAATTTCAAATGGCCTGTTCAAATTTAAAAAAAATGGCCTGTATTTCAAAATACAGGCCATATTGGCCTGATATAAGATGACCAAAACACCCTTACTTAACCGTACCGAATCGAACTTAACCTAACATGAACCATTGGCTTTAAAAACAAAACAAAATTAAAAGAAATTTAGTTGATGTTAATTCGGTCGTGGACTACCAATGGGTGATGCCAAAGGTTGCCAACCGGCACTCATAGCTACACTCCTGAGGAGAAACAATTATTACAAACACTAAGCCATTGGGCTCAGCGATGCATTTACAGAACTTGCGGCTTAATTTATTAACTAAATAAACTTCTGGACTAATGTTGTCAACAGACGTGTCTCTCATATAATTGCTCCCAGCAAGCTAATAGTAATTACCTTAGTCATTTTGACTGTTGTTGTTGCTGTAGCTTGAATGTATGGGTTCTATTAGATTAGGTTTTGTATTAGCTTGTAATTCAGGTTCGTGATTAATAATTTTAGCGGAGTGGCGTGGACGGCTCCTCCAGTGTTGTGGCTGACACAGCTGGACGGGACAACGAGTCTAAACCCTTCCCTTACTACGGCCCTAAACCTTTCCATTAGTACATTAGTCAAAGGAATTCTGCAATAAAGATTTACTATTGTTCTAGCATATAAATATGGATTTAATTTTTTTATAATAATATAATAATAAAAAGATACCACACAAAGCGTAGTTGGCCCCATACTCATTCATGTCCCTCGCTATTTAGTTTAGTTCATTTATTATGCACCCCATACCCATCCCCAGTTTGCTAACTGTAGGTAGTAACCGAGTGATTGTAACCTATCCACCGCTGCCCACTGGATGGGGGGCGGTGTGCAGGACAAACATATAAATTTTGACACTAGCTCTCCACATATGTCAGTTGCTTAATTTAGAACCTGTACCTGAGGTCGATCTCGAACCCATTGTTGATGTGACGACTTATATTGAATTTTGTAACTAGCTCATCAAGATTGTAACTTGCTTAGCTAAATGAATTGTGGGGTTCAGTCCCTGAGCCCATTATGTGCCTCTGTAACCTTTTCCACTACCGCCCACAAAATGAGTATGGGGTGCATAATAAATGAACTAAACTAACTAACTAACTAACCATCTTGTAGGCGGTAGTGAAAAGGGTTACAGAGGCACATAATGGGCTCAGGGACTGAATCCCAAAATTTATTTAGCTAAGCAAGCTCAAGATAGATAGATAGAAGCAAGTTACAATGAAGATGAGCTAGTTACAACGACAAGACGAATATTTACCTGAATTAACCTGAGGGTCACCCTTACTTTTGTTAAATTATCTGTATGTCTCTTGCAAATTGTCTATACAGTATACCTAAGTCGTAAAAGTATTTGTGTGTACGTCTGATACCATATTACTTGTGTAAAGGAGGAATTGTATATGTTTATCTCTCAGAATGTTCGGCAATATGTTTATTGTTTGTGATGTGTGTCTATATATGTATGAACACGTTGTACTGAACGGGGTGAGAATAGCTTGAGCTACCTCATCCCTTTGTGTGTATTTTACCTCAATAAACTTTTTTCAATTTCAATTTCAATTTCTTCTATCTACTGGCCTAAACCGGGACAGGTAGTTTTCTGCTGAGCTCTTTCTACTTTTTTTCAAAAATAGGGATGACATTTGAATATTTTCAGTCTAGGGGGAATTATCCCTTTATCTAAAGATTTTCTGTAACGGAGTTACAAGTTTCAGTGGTAGACATAGCTCATCTGTCAATTCCTTTACGAATTTGGATTGAATTCCATCCACACCTGGGGCTTTAGCTTCTTTTGCTTGTCAGGGCTCTTCCTGATTGTTTTGCACATTATGGGAATATCCCTTAATGTATTCTCTTCACCTGCTTCAAACATTCAAAGTATATTGGCTGCCTTTTTATCATCAATTGTAACTTGATTGGTCTCGTCTTTTAAGGGTCCTATCGTATCTTTTGTCTTATTTTACTTATGTAGGCATTAAAATAAGACTTGGATCATACTTTATGTTTTGAGTGACTTTTCTTCCGTAGTTCCTTCTGATTTATCTGATTTCCCGAGTAGCAGAATTTAATGACCTACTTTATATAGCATAATCTATGTGATTCTGACTCTTCTTCCAGTCTTTTCGCTTTGTTGTATTAAGTATTAATACAGTATTAAGTATTAAGTTTTATGTCTTTAATGTTTTTCCTGGCCGAAACGCTTTGTGTAATAGTGGCTTTAGGCATTATATGTACTAGCTCTATCTATAAATCTATCAATTTTTGTAAAACCTCTTGTATGTATGTACCTTACCTGAATAAACATTTATTTATTTATTTATTTATTTATTATTTATTTATTTGTTATAACTCTTTTTTGTTTTTTTGCTTCGCCTGTCATCTATCTTCTTAATGTTTTCCTCTCCTTGGTACACATTTTTGAACAAGCTCAGTGATGATCTTTTTTTAAATTTTCTCACGAAGCTTCCGTATCTGAGATTGCCCTGTTATCAGTTACTTCAGGCCAAATGGTATGACGTACTTTGAGCTCTGTGATTACTTTATATTACTCAGGAATATTGGAAGATATTCTTGTGCTGTATCCAGATTTTGCTAGTGGAGAGTGAGAGATCAGCCTGACATCTCATGTTCTCTCCTGATTCCATGTATTATTGGCGGTCGTGTGAGGTGGGGATATTGGATGAGCTTGTAGCTGTTTTTTTCTTTATCTACACTGTGTGGTCATTCATACAGAATAGGGAAGCAGTGGTCATTCATACAGAATAGGGAAGCAGTGGTCATTCATACAGAATAGGGAAGCAGTGGTCATTCATACAGAATAGGGAAGCAGTGGTCATTCATACAGAATAGGGAAGCAGTGGTCATTCATACAGAATAGGGAAGCAGTGGTCATTCATACAGAATAGGGAAGCAGTGGTCATTCATACAGAATAGGGAAGCAGTGGTCATTCATACAGAATAGGGAAGCAGTGGTCATTCATACAGAATAGGGAAGCAGCATATTGCTGTGTACACCTAAGCCTGTTAAAAAAGAAACACAAAATCTTGATCTGCTATTAACATTCTCCAGGAGGTATTTTACAATTCCTGTCTTATTCTCTAATAGTCTCCTGGGTGGTGGTCAAGAAAGTTATCATACTGGGGCCAGATTCACGAAAGCACTAACGAACGTGTACATCTTTCCTCAATCTTTGACGGCTTTGGTTATATTTATTAAACAGTTTACAAGCATGAAAACTTCCCATTCAACTGTTGTTATTGTTATAACCAGACTCCTGGGGCTTCGGAGCTCGTTAAGTGTTTAATAATTGGAAACAAAGCCGCCAAAGATTGAGAAAAGATGTACACGTTCGTAAGTGCTTTCGTGAATCTGGCCCCAGGACTTTTAAATGGGTTTCTAGAATTGTATTCCATCCTAGAATATTGTGGTCACGTGAAGTGGTGAGCTTCTACCTTATCAAAATTTGATCGATCATATATACCTCTTCTGGTGTTATCATAATTTACCTGAATTTACCTTAAAGGGCCACCGTCTCACTACAGTGGCCTCGACTAGGACAGGAAGCAGGCAGCTTGTCAAGGGTCTCTCTTCCCGACGCCCCCATTTGTCCTGATGACTTTATCCAGCTGGATTTTGAATTCCAGCAGTGTTTTGGCATTTACGGCTTCGGCGGGAAGGCGGTTCTAGTGATTTATGATCCTATAGGGGTGAAAAGGCATCTCTCTTTTTTTTCCTGTATTGTGGTTTGCTAAGCTTGAAGCTTACCTATTTGTGTTACATCTAACCTTTCAAAGAAGTGGTCTGGATCAATATCCTCCAGGTTGTTTGATTTTAAAAGTTTCGATGAAACTTTTAAAGTTTCCGGTTTAAAGTTTAAAAGTTTCGATGAAGCTTTTAAAGTTTCCGGTTTAAAGTTTTAAAGTTTAAAGTTAAAGAGACGGCCACATAACAAGCTGGCGGAGGCAGCCACGTAACAGGCTGGCGGAGACGGTCAGATAATAGCATGGCGGAGATGGCATGGCAGACGACGATATTTGAGAAACGAATGTCTATTTCAGATTCCAAGAGTACAACTCAACCAGAAAAAATGCCGAGCAAATTAAAGACTAAATTGTGGAGAGATCTCTCTAATGATATTAAAGTTGTACTTTCTTCAACCAGTTTAAAAAGACAAACTAAAAAAATACCTAATAAACATCATGTAACAAATTTCACTAATTTCTTCATCCTAAAGAAGTCAACCTATGTTTTGTAGTTATTGTGAACATTTAATATTTAATGCTGCTAAACTACAGATTCTGTAACTAAGTAGTCTATAAGGCTTTCATCGTTCGGTGTCACTTAAAAATTGTATACAGTTGTACTGAAGTGCCCTAACTTAGCCAACTACAGGAAACACGAACAGGAAAAGGTACATTATGTCAATTTCGCGAGCCGCTACCGTTACCTTGTACATCAGTTATGGGCCTTAGGTTAAGTATACGTCAAATTGCGACGTCCTATAAAGAGACTGAACAACCTTGTTCTCTTTAAAACTTGAGATTTGACTCCTGTGTTCGCTGTCTGTGATGTTAGTGAGACCGCTCTATAAATTTTAGCAAACACTTTCCAACCTCCCTTATGGAATGCAGCTATATCTGCTGATTTAAGTGCTCTGGTATCTCATCGGTATCAGATGTTTCTCTCTACCTGGGTACCTGGGAGTTAGTCAGCTGTCACGGGCTGCTTCCTGGGGGTGGAGGCCTGGTCGAGGACCGGGCCGCGGGGACACTAAAGCCCCAAAATAATCTCAAGATAACCTACCGCACTAAATGCTCGTGTTTGTTCGTGCATGGACATGTTGTCTATTATATCTTACAGTCTACTGTGCTCGTGTTAATATCAGTTCTAATGATAGTTGTGGATATCGAAGCTGGCTGGACCTCCCTCATTCGTGCTTACTGGAGTGTTAAACATAGCCTGTATATGAACCTTCTACCATAAAATATGGAAGTTTTTTTTTATGTGAAAAAACATTTTCAATTTTGGGTTATTTCTTATATGGCTTTCTATTTCATCAGAATTTCTTCAATCTGGCGTGATCGCTTCATCTAATGCTCTATTTCTTTAACGTCCCTGATAAAATTAAATTTTTTATTCTTATGCATAATCCCTTTTTGATCATCCGAAAAAGAGCACATTTCAAGAATTGTTTCTGAACACTTCAAGTAAATTGATCAATTCCGTGGTGGAAGGTTTGCTTGTTCCATATGTTTTCATCAATCTTCTTATTGTTGAAATTGAATTTACTTAACAGCTTGCTAAACCTTTGGATTTATTGTGCAAAATCAAACTGGTTGAGAATGTAACTGAGAAATGGTAAACAAGATTTTATGTAACTTTTGCTGAAGTAGCAAAAAGCTCAGTGGGAAAGAAGTATTTACCTGAGCAACCGTGGTCATCTTCAAGAGAAAACTAGATCGTTTTCTTCAAGAAGTGCCGGATCAACTGGGGTGTGGTGGATATGTATGCCTGCGGCCGCTCCAAGCAATAGCCTAGTGGACCAAACTCTCACAAGTCAAGCCTGGCCTCGGGCCGGGCTTGGGGAGTAGAAGAACTCCCAGAACCCCATAAAGCAGGTAACAAGCAGATAATTATGACAACAAGATAGTCTTGAAGAACTAAACAAATAATGAAAAGTACAAGGCAGGAAATAGCATAAATTCTACGCCAAGTTTACGCCGGAGAAGCAACAATGAAAATAGAACATTACTGTAGGAAATGTACAGAACACTTCTATAGGGGCAATTATAGTTCTAAATCTGTATAGTCTCAAGTGCAGGAGATACATAATAATCTACACGTGGGAAATATTAGACTGGCTCCGAATCACCACACGGAAATAACATCTTATGAAACCAGTAGACATGGCAGGAATGTGCAAAATAACCCCATTGAAATTCAAAGGTATGACAGATACTCTGAGAAAGTTCTCTCAAAGGCCCAAGATTTGTCAACACTCTCCTGCTACACATAAGGGGGTATAACTCAACGCCCTCTCACGGTGTTGGTAGAAAATAATAATAATAAAAAAAAAACGGTGTTCAAGGGAGAACTCTATAAACACCTCCAAAGGATACCTGATCAACAAGGCTGTAATTCATACCCCAGGCTGCAAGCAGCCGCATCAAACAGCTTGGTCGACCAGACGATCAACCGGGATGATCTAAAATCATCCCGGTTGTGATGTTATGAGGTAATAAACAAATCTTATAAAAGTATCAAACTATAATGTGATGGTGCAAAGAAAATTGCCCATTGTTAATTGAAAAGACATTTAAACATGTTTCTAAGAAATCTAATATTATTGTCTTAACCTTTAAGAAGGATCAAAGATTGTAGAAGTTATGGTCGTATGAAAATATAAATACTGTACAGTATTTGAGAGACTCCATTTTAATAAATTTTGCAAAGTCTAGGCGTAAAAGTCTTACGATTTTAAGGTTCTGATAATAGTTGCGTTCATTCTAGACTTACAATTGAGAATTCAGTGGGACATAATTGATTGTGTTTCCCTTTCACCTAGCAGTAAAGATATCCTTCAGTTACTCAATTCTTGTAAGGTTGCATCCTGATGTGTACTGTGGTTCCACATTGGAGGAGAGCGCGGCCTCGCTGTTCTTAAGAAACTGTTCTTATTTTTCAGTGATGGGAATATCAGATCATTTGATGTTCCCATTTTTCTGATGGGAACATCAGATTATTTGGGAACGCATTGGACGAGGAAGTGGGGAATGGTGGGGGAGGAAAATGAGGGGATAGGGGTGGGGGATGGTGTGGAGGACGAGGGGATGGGGAGTGGAGAATGGTGGGGAGGACGAGGGAACGGGGGACGGTGGGAAGGACGAGGGGGATGGGGAGGGGGAAAATGGTGGGGAGGATGGGGGGGGGGGCAGGGGAGGGTTATTGTGTTGCTGCTGTGTCCCAGATATTGTCTCATTATCAGAGACGAAACTTGAAGGAAATATTTTAAATAAAGTCGTATTCCCAAGGGGCTACTCAGTTTGGAGACGTGACAGGAAAACTAGGAAAGGGGGGGGAGGAGTTGCTGTGCCTGTAAAAGAACACCTGAAGGTAAGAGTGTTAATATTTTAAAACCCTCGAGATACTGACATAATGGCATTGCAGGTCTGGAATCAGGATGATAAGCTGATAATTTTAAATGCCTACAGCCCACCAGCAAGCAACACATGGACAAAAGACGAACTGGATGACAAACGAGAGGGCCTCACAATGGTCACGAGAGAAATTATTGTACAAGCAGATAAAGATAAATCACGACTGTTGATACTGAGGGACTTCAACTTTAAAACAATAGACTGGGAGGCCTATGAAGCAAGAACGGAGGACTTTTGGACATGCAGATTTGTAAACCTCATTCTGGAGACATTCTTGAATCAACATTTCAAGCAGGCCACAAGAACGAGGGAAGGGGATGTACTGTCAGTACTGGATCTAGTATTCACCAGGGAACAAGAAGAGATATTTGACATCAAACACCTTCCTCCCTTGGGAAAGAGTGATCATGTTGTTAGACATTAAATATGCTTTAAGATACCATCTAGAAGAAAATGGGGACATTGAAACAGTTGATAAACTCGATTTCAGGAGAGAACACTATGGGGAACTTCGAACATTTTTTAATCAGTGTAATTGGACAGATTTGTTGCTAGGCAGGGAAGTAAATAACTAAATGGGTAGAACACCTTGAGAGAAACGATATAGTATAAGACTGTCAGTATGGTTTTCGATCTGGGAGATCCTGTGTATCGAATTTACTCAGTTTCTATGATCGAGCCACAGAGATTTTACAGGAAAGAGATGGTTGGGTTGACTAAATCTATCTGGACCTAAAAAAGGCTTTCGACAGAGTTCCACATAAGAGGTTGTTCTGGAAACTGGAATACATTGGAGGGGGTGACAGGTAAGCTGCTAACATGGATGAAAAATTTTCTGACAAAAAAATGAGGGCAGTAATAAGAGGAAGTGTATCAAACTGGAGAAATGCCACAAGTGGAGTACCACAGGGTTCAGTTCTTGCACCGGTAATGTTCATTGTCTACATAAACTATCTACCAGATGGAATACAGAATTATATGAACATGTTTGCTGATGATGCTAAGATAATAGGGAAGATAAGTAACTTAGATGATTGTCATACTCTTCAAGAAGACCTGGACAGAATAAGTATATGGAGCACCACTTGGCAAATGGAATTTAATGTAAATAAATGCCATGTTATGAACATGGAATAGGAGAACATAGACCCCACGCAACCCATAAATTATGTGAGAAATCTTTAAAGAAGTCTGATAAAGAAAGAGATCTAGGGGTTATCTTCTTGAGATGATTTTGGAGCTTTAGTGTCCCCATTATGTACATGATTGCAGATAGAATAAAAAAATAACAGGTGGTTACAGGAAAGGGTGCCAGAAAAATAACCACTCAGTTTTGCAATAACGGAAACAAAATTTACTAGTGTTGAGCAGTTTTCTACTTTGTTCAACTATGCATTTTAAAGTTAATACAATAAACCTTGAGAAAAGCTTCAGAAAATGCAAATTATAAACACTAGCTTCTTACACCTCTAGAACCTTCAATTACAAGCAAGGGAATTTACTGGGTTCCAACAAATTTGTTGATCTATAGAAAACAAAATGTAAACAAATTAGCGAGTAGAGAACACACAAGACATTGCACTAATCATCTCTGCCAATACAAACTACAAAAAAAAGTTTGCAGTATGAGCACAGCCCATTTGCTGCCTGGTAGATATATAATAGTACAAGGCACTCTTAACAGAAACCACTGGGGATGAAGAAACGCTAACATACAAGCTAAGGAAAAGTGCAAACACTGCTTGCCTAATTACTTTCAATTTTGAAAATACTGTACTTATGACATAAGTTCAACCTGGATATTCCAGTTTCAATCCATACAGATGCATGATAGCTAGTGCATATACAGTATGGCCAAATGTCAAGTTTTGCATGGCATTACTCTTCAAAATTTCAATATGATTGTCATTTGCATTATTGTATAATTCCAGTCGATTGGTGTGAATTGGCTAGTTTCAGTTCTTATGGAACTATTATTATGGCAGGTGACAGAAATCCTTGCCATGTCTGCTGCTGCTTGTCGCCATATTCTAGATATATTTTGTCATTTTCAGCTGTATGACTCTTACTATGTATACAAAGACGGTAGAAGTTTCTTTCCTATTTGCTGAAAAAATTCATATCCTGCTGTTAAGTTGATTATTGCTGTGATGTAGGCTATGATGAGCAATTTAGCTATAAATCTGATATGTTCGTTTAGGTTTGGCACACATTAACTGTTTTAATTTATATGCCAACATTGTATCGTAACCTATTACAAATTGCACATTTTAACGAGCCTAAAAAAATTTGATTTGAAATTTTTCAATCCATGACGTCTCAATAGGAGGTACTGTACTTTAATATAATCATAAATGCTCATCGTGTATTGCACATTTTTAAGCATCCTGTTCTTCAAAGAGCCTTTAACAGGCTGAATCATCAATAAACACAAACAATGATAGTTTAGTCATCTAAATTTTTTATGGCGACAATGATATTAAGTATTGCAATGTGGAGGGGGGGGGGGAGGATATAGGTGGCCAGTTAGACAGTTAACAGTTAAATGAGAGAATGTTAAAAAACAAATAATTTCATAAGGCATGGTTAAGATCAAGGAAGCTAGCAGGGACGGAATGGGTTAGAACCAAGATATTATGGCATGAATTCTATAAATGTTACATTATATTTGACCATCACCAGAATGTCAAAGAATTCATCAGTAATATACAACACATTACAGTCATTCGGTAATCAATGGGCATTCTTAGCTTTTGACAAATATAGAAATAAATTGCAATGGTTGTGGGTTTGAAAGGTATCACCGAAAGAAATTTTTTGTTTATTTTTCAAAATAGTACAAAAAGTCTCTTGATTGTCACCCTATATGGCATTGATAGCAATGTCATGTACACCATCTTTTAATTGGCAAATCACCATTGAGTCTTTAACAGATTATTTTCCATGAGGGTTTGTTACAATTACAAAATTCTATCTTTTCACAGACAGAAACAATAAAACCATTTATGAGTACTTTCACAAAAAATTATTAAACCTAATCGATTTAGGAAAAAGTTAACTTCTTCAAAAATCTCAAATGCATAAATATCTTGCAACATCTAAGTAAAACTAGCAAATGCAGTAACAGTGGGCATGACTGATCGGCACCAACAGCTATGACAGCAATTATTCAGCCCATAATATAACTTAAAATATTTATGCTGCAACAATCATGCTTTAAAAGCATTCATTCATCACATCCAATCTAAAATGCAGATATAAAATTTAGTCAAAATGTAAAATAGTTTCTATTAAAAAGACATAGTTTTTTTAAGAAACTAAATTATGGATACACTTCACACTTAAAAGACATTCATTACACTACCATTCTTTAAACAGTTAACCAGTAATTTGAGTCATGTTCAGCCAACACTATCAGACAATAGGCGAACAATGAAAATACCACAGTCATATGTTTGTATCACTAATGAGCCTTACACTTCGAGGGAGAGGCAGTATGGGCATCCCAGCCAACAGATCTGGTATTCAGATCAGCACTGAAGCAAGAGTCTGTACTCCCCTCGAGCGGCACTAAGTACTTGTGAGCCAACTGCCAACACCTAGGTAGACTTTATTTACTCCACCAAAATGCTGGTGTTGGGTCGTCCATAATCCTGGGAGATGAAGAGATCGTTAGGATTGTTGAATTTTCCCTTGGGTGTCATGGCCATTGTAGGTTTCCTATTTCGCAGATTATCTTGGTTTCTAGCATGAACTGCTCTATCGGCTGGGTCCTCTAGCATGGTCTTTATAAGCTCTGGGTCCGAAAGTCGTGTTAGGAGCTCATAGAACCGTGCATGGCTCAAGTGCTGCTTCAAACGGTATAGCAAATAAACATCACCAATCTTGCAACAGTTTACTACAGAAACTATAGTGTTGCTCACTGTGTCTTTGGCATTAAGAGGCTTGGCTACCTTAAGCATCATCAGACGGAAGTATGGGAGCCACATGAAGCCTAAAAATATTAGGTATGCACACGTGATGGCAGTCAGGATGATGAGCCATACCCATACACCTAAAAATACTTTCTCATACAATTCCATCACTGTTAAATGACAACCAAATTTCTCTGTCCTTTGACCAACCAGCTTGTTCACTACCCCTAATTCACACTTGGCAAAAGGAGGAAAAGTCCTAGACATATAGTCTGAGAAATTAACAGGGTCACGACTATATGGATATGCCATCCATCCATAATGCATAAAACGTCCTTGAAAAACAAAATCTAAAAACTGGAAACTGATAATATCAACAATCAATGCTACTAAATTACAGATGACAAATTTGTAATAAAGCCCATTATGGGTTTTAAGATTATAAGCAATATAGCGTGCTGCTCTGTCAACTAACTCTTTCTCGATTTGATCATATCGGTGAGAATTCACAGCAAGATCCTCAATAAGTTTTTTTACCTTGGGATTTTCTGAGTTCTTGGAGATTTTGCGGGGAATGTAGTAAATGCCAGCAAGCACCAGTAGAGTCCAATGTATCCATCTGTAGAAGAGAAGGAATCTACGGTCTGAGCTGCCTTCTTCTACATATGGGTAGGAGAGGCATATGTTTATATAATCCAGACGGACCTGGGTTTCAGCATTGAAATGTGATACACAGGTTATCACATCACGATGGTACCAGGAGTACCACACAGCAGAAAATCCAGCAAGTAATAGCCAGAAGGTCCACTGGTAGTGCATCTTGAGAATAAGTCCATCACAGGGGGAGGTGCATGGAGCACGTTTCTTCTTGAAGATATTTACTACATTGCCCACCAATTGGCGGATAATGTCGGTGCCACCGTGACCTATGATAGCCATCTTTCAGTTCCTGAAAAATCAATTCATTAAAATTAGGCTCCTAATCTCTTCGTACTTCATTACATCTGCAATGAAAAGATATTAGTAGCCTTCACAGTATACCATATCAGTGCCCACAACCATGCCATTGTGCATTTGTCAAAAGCGGAGCCCATGCTCAAGGAGAAAATGAAAAAACGAGAACTGTTCACATTTTATTAAAAACTGACTGGAGGAAAATTGTCTCAACTTGTAGGTCCTGCCCTCCCTCCCCATGAGTTTTTAAGAGAAAGAACGTCAACATCAGTCTCTTGAAAAAGAAGAAAGGCATAAATGCAACAACTACAATATAATGCCAAAGTAAAGACATAAATGCATAACCTGGATGTCAGCTGTTTTCTACATAAAACAAACCTTAAGTACAGTAAGCATTGCTATGAGATTCACACATAATTACAACTTAACAATCTCCGACACTAAAACAAACTGTCATACATGTCATACATACATACTAAAACATTAATCACTAAATTATCATCACAATGTTCAAAATTTGGGAATGATTCCACAAAAGCTTGTTAAAAGCCAGTCAGTTGTTTCACTGACCACTGTCCACCATTTGTACTATCCACTGATAAGTACAGAAGAATTAACAGGGCTGAAGTTGCAGTTTTAAATGACTTAGGCTTCTAGGCTTTTATTTTCCCCTAATTTATTCAACTAAGATACTGGAGTTGGGTAGATATCCCCCTTCACCAGGTGTGTTAAAGAGGACATCCTGAAACTTGCCTGGGGTTTTCGGGTTGTTCTTGCGTTGACGGAGGTCCTGTCCCCCAACACCTTTGTTGTGGCCATGATGGTCGATGGAAACAGTGTCAAGCATCGTGCGGAGGAAGTCAGGGTCTGAGAGTCGTGTTAACAGCTCATAATACCGAGCATGGCTAAAATGCTGTTTCAAACGATAAAGAAGATAGACATCTCCAATTTTACAAGTACTCACTATGTTACAGATCGTGTTTCGAATTGTGTCTTTTGCACTCAAAGGTTTTGCAATTCTTAGCATTAGTAGCCGTGCCCAAGGGACCCACATTAGAGCCAAGAAAACAAGATAACAGGCAGTCATAGTTGTCATAACAATGAGCCATAGCCAGATGACTAAGAACACCTTCTCATACAACTCCATCACAGTTAGGTGACAGCCCAGGCGTTCAATACGTTTATTAGTTAGCTGAACTTCATTGTGTAGCTCACAGTTGGCAAAAGGTGGGAACATTTCAGACATATAATCTGTAAAATGCTGTGGGTCACGGTTGAAGGGGTATGCCTGAAAACCATATCTCAGAAATCGTCCTTGGAAGACAAAGTCAAGAAACTGGAAGCTAAATATATCAACCAGCAGGGCAACCAAATTACATGTAACATATTTGTAATAAAGGCCATTGTGAGTCTTCAAATTAAATGCTATGTATTTAGCAGTTCTTTCTACAAGCTCTCGTTCCAGACCATCATATCGATGAGAATTGACGGCAAGATCTTCTATGAGCTTCTTCACTTTGAAATTCTCTGAAGTCTTGGAGATCTTCCGTGGAATATAGTAGATGCCTGCCAGGAGTAGTAGTGCCCAATGGATCCAGCGATAAAAGAGGAGATATCGTCTCTGACCGCCTTCACCCTCACCAGCATCTTCCCCAGCCCCATCCACGAAGGGGTATGAGAGGCATATGTTGATGTAATCTAATCTAACCTGTGTCTCAGCATTAAAGTGAGAAGCACATGTGATGACATCTCTGTGGTACCATGAATACCAAATGGCAGAGAAGCCTCCTAGAAGGACCCAAAAAGTCCATTGGTAGTGCATCTTAAGCACCATGCCATCACATGGTGCTGTACAGGGCGAGGCCCGCTTATTGAAGATATTGACGACATTTCCGACAATTTGCCGGATAATGTCAAAGGACCTTCCACTCTGGCCTGGCATTACCATCCCTCTCTCTCTGTAAAGGGAGAACTACATTACTGGTTCGATCGCATCTTCCCCCATCTTCTTTATTTCATAGTATGTCAATTTCTCAATAAGCTATTTACCATTAAAGCAAATTCTGAAAACATACAAATCTACTTATATTCAGCATTAACACAAATGTAGGTTAACAAAATTTACTGCCAACAATTGTCAAAATGAATACCTTTGAACCTTTATATTTTTTTTACAGATTAAGGAAGAGGAGAAATTGGGACATGCAAGTGAGCTGAATTGAAAAGTACAACCAACACTACAACATGCAGAACATAAAATTGACATTTACCTATTTAATTTACAAAATTCTGGTTTCTAGTGAACCTCGTTAAAGGTTCTTAAAGCCAACTGTAAAAATGAAAGGTGCATATATTAGCATTAGATTATATTTCTATCCTATAGGCATCAGCTTTAGATTTATGAGAAGATTATTTCTATCCCATAACTGTGAGTTGATGGTCAGCTAGAGCAGCTCTTAACTAAAGCTTTAAAAATGGCAGAACAACCAGCATAACAAGACAAGAAACCCTGCCTGGAGCAAGACTTTAACATCTAGCACTATGAAGTGGGCACTAATGTGGTAACTATGGAGCTTTGCTGACACCACCCCAGCATAAATGAAATGACTCAAGCTCATGAATGAGTGTAACTGTAGACACCTCATTCTGGCATTGCACTGAGTGTGCAACTTTGACCAGTCTGAGGAAAAAAATATTATAGTATTCCCTGGGATGGCATCAGTCAAGCAAATTTTCTTAAGGTACACCTTTATATCGGTGGCAGCACGTATCTACATCTCGCTAAGATGCAGAATTTTTAGCTCCCAGCGACACGGATCCTTAGCCTTATGTTTAATTAGAAAATGAAGCACTCGGTGAGAGCTGCAGGTGGCACTCTTAAGGAGAGTGCAAAGAGCAACCAACCACCAGGTGTGGCAAAACACCGCCTCCACTCATGCCACATTCCACTCTCCCCCTTATCCTTTCACCCCTCCCCCCACTGATTCCTGCCCTTATCAACCCCTCACACTGATTCTCACCCTTATCCACCCCTCACACTGATCCTCACCTTTACCCACCCCCACACTACCACAATTGACCTTGCCCCTAAACCACTTGATTATTGCAACAGTATAACATATATGACCTCTACAATCCAGTGTAAGTAGTTGAACTCAACTTAAAAAATCAGTTACCTTTATAAGCAAACATGTTTAGTACAATATTTGTAAATGAAAATAATTATTCGGGGCTCAATTTGGACATAATGAATGTCTATGCCGTTCAAAACATGTCTGGCTTAATTAATCAGAAGAAGACATGTTTATCTTATAGATAATATATTTATTTATAAATATATTGTATCTATAACCCAGACCATATACAATCTGTTATTCATCCAAAGGATTTTTCTGCTGCTAATAAACTCTCACCTAAAAGATCTTTAAAAATTTAAATTAAGGAAAAAATAAATCTCATGCTTTTTCTAAATGCTAAAGGCACTATACAACCCCTCCCTTTAAACCCACCTGTTTCTACCATATCTTACATCCTGTTGTCTTATTTTCTTAATTTGTACCCCTTGAATGCTCTTTTCCTGGCATACTAAGCTAAGCAATTCCCCCCATAGTTCCCACATTCTCCCCAACTATTATTACAAAAATATAAATTAAGAGTAACATTTCCAACATGTTGTTACTTTTTGTAACAATATATGTAAATAAATATGCAAACAAATATCAGACTTAACAGAACCCATTGGGTCCACTTTATGATCATTGAAAAAAAAAAGTGCAACATCCCAGCAATATGTATTTTAATATTTGGCAGTATGGCTAATTGGGATTTGCACAACCCTTTAAGTAGCAAGAAAAAGATAAGATTTTTTTTATATTTACTTTAAGGATATGCTATTCTGTACCTTACTTTCTTTCAAATATGAATGCATAAAAACAATTTTATATAATTTTAATCTTGTTTACAACTTTAAACTATATTTTTCAATACTAAAATGATGGAATGAATTTTAATTTAACAAAAAATTTAGTATCATTGTCCTTATGAATTTAAATAAAATATGAAACTGAAAAGGTACACATCAATAACATAGTGGTGAGTATTATCAGTTTTAAAGCATTTCTTGAAACTATTACTATCCAAATAGATCATCCTGCCAAAGTTACTTCAAAAAACAAAATATGGAATCTGGAACTTATTTTCCACCCCACAATTACTATCTATTGAAAATCTCATTTACTAATTAAGCAAACCTTAATAATTAAGAAGATGGTTCACAATTTTTCTTTTAAATTGTTTGTTAACCAAAAAAAAACAACTTGGGTCAACTGAATAAAACATATGATTATAATTTACCTTGTACAGTACACTGACTGTACTTCTCTATGCAACCAATTTCTATGCCATTTTTCAATACTATAAACTTTATTCACCCACAAAACTCTGAACCATCTTCCTACATGCATGTGCTTCAGTGTCGTTGCTCTCAATGTAACTCCTAACCTTTGGGTTTGGGGCTGTTTAGGTCTGGTCGATGCCGGGTCGTAGGATGCCAGAAGCTGACGCAGGCTGAGATCGACGTCACTCATGTGCTGTGATGTGATGGGAACATAACATCAGTGTAACAACGACCAATGCGCCATTGGGGCCCTGTGTGTCACCGCCACCGTCAATCTCCAGGCTCCTCCTCACGCTCTCCTCTTCTCACTGTCAGAAGTGACTCATCACGCCTGTAATGCATATGAACCAGTTATAATACATGAAGGAGATTATAAATGTACAATCATTTATGAATACAGTCTTTGAATAAATTCAGATCATGGGATCCAACGGGTATACACCTTATAATGTTAACCATCTTCAAGCTCAACAGTTTGTCAATAATAGAAATATATACTGTTTTAGTCGAGGATTTTCAAATTTAATTATTTTGCAGTAGCAGATAAGTAGTTTATTGTTACTAACAATATCAACTGGGTAAAAGCTTGACAGATCCAGTTGCATGTACTGTATATGACTAGGCCTATTTACTTGAAAATTTAAGAACAAAACTGGTCGAGTCAGGCCTCAGGCCGGGCTCTAGGAGTAGAACTCCTAGAACTCTCTCCAGGAATACACAGTACAGTATATAAAGCAAAATGAATACACTTTGACAAACACCTTTTCATTTATGATACTTCAGTTAATGCAACTGTGTTAGGCATTAGTCTATACAGAACAAGACAGCAAAAAAATAAAAAAAACATAATAAAATATATCTGTTTGGCTGGGTCAATATATAAAAATCAGGCATAAACCACTTTGGCAATGTGTACATTTGATTGAATGATTTAATGATACGCTGCACAGAGATTACAGTTAACATTTGGAAAGCCTCTATAATTGAATGTTTAGCACATTGCAGGATCTTTCAGGATGACTGGTAGTAGTTATTATAATGTGCAGGACTCATAAGCCCCACTTCACATTGTGAAGAACTACCAACCTTCACACATTGTGCAGGACTCACTCCCCCCCCCCCACCCCACACCATGACAATGCATAGCACTCGATCACCACCAATCAGCAAAAGGTGCAAGGACTCCCGCACCACCAACCAACAAAGGGCGCAAGGACTCCCGCACCACCAACCAACAAAGGGCGCAAGGACTCGCACCACCAACCAACAAAGGGCGCAAGGACTCGCACCACCAACCAACAAAGGGCGCAAGGACTCCCGCACCACCAACCAACAAAGGGCGCAAGGACTCGCACCACCAACCAACAAAGGGTATAAGGACTCGCACCACCAACCAACAAAGGGTGCAAGGACTTGCACCACCAACCAACAAAGGGTGCAAGGACTTGCACCACCAACCAACAAAAGGTGCAAGGACTCTCACCACCAACAAAGGGTGCAAGGACTCGCACCACCAACCAACAAAGGGTGCAAGGACTCGCACCACCAACCAACAAAGGGTGCAAGGACTTTCACCACCAACCAACAAAAGGTGCAAGGACTCTCACCACCAACAAAGGGTGCAAGGACTCGCACCACCAACCAACAAAGGGTGCAAGGACTCGCACCACCAACCAACAAAAGGTGCAAGGACTCGCACCACCAACCAACAAAAGGTGCAAGGACTCGCACCACAACAAAAGGTGCAAGAACTTGCACCACAACAAAAGGGGCAAGGACTCTCACACCACAACAAAGGGGGCAAGGACTCACACCACAACAAAAGGGGCAAGGACTCTCGCACCACAACAAAATGTCCAAGGACTCTCGCACCACAACAAAACGTGCAAGGACTCTCACACCACAACAAAAAGGTGCAAGGACTCCCACACCACCAACCAACAAGGGGTGCAAGGACTCCCGCACCATCAACAAAAGGTGCAAGGACTCCTGCACCACCAGCCAACAAAAGGTGCAAGGACTCCCGTACCACCAACCAACAAAAGGTGCAAGGACTTTCGCACCACCAATGAACAAAAGGTGCAAGGACTCCCGAACCACCAACAAACAGAAGGTGCAAGGACTTGCACCACCAACCAACAAAAGGTGCAAGGACTCTCGCACCACCAAAAGGTGCAAGGACTCTCACACCATCAAAAGGTGCAAGGACTCTTGCACCACCAAAGGGCGCAAGGACTCTCGCACCACCAACCAACAAAAGGTGCAAGGATTCACACCCCCAACCAACAAAGGGTGCAAGGACTCTCACACCCCCAACAAAAGTTGTAAGGACTCTCGCACTGCCAACCAACAAATGGTGCAAGGACTCTCGCACCGCCAACCAACAAAAGGTGCAAGGACTCTCGCACCACCAACCAACAAAAGGTGCAAGGACTCTCGCACCCCCAACAAAAGCTGCAAGGACTCTCGCACCCCCAACCAACAAAAGGTGCAAGGACTCTCCCACCACCCACAGTTAACCCCTTCCACATTATGGCAACTCGCTCAGTGACCACCTCAATTCCCCCATTTATAAACCATTGAGGCATCGGTTCTTAGCTCTCCCTTAACACCCCCTACATACCCCAACGGCATGTCAGCCTCTCACACAACATCCAGTGGGGGCAAGCCTTCCCATCGAGGGTTGAATTTAGAAATGGCGAGGCCTTAAACTATGGGAAACTGTAATGGTGCTCGTTGATATAAGAGAATAAGGCTGCGCAGCAACTGGCAATATCCCGCCAAAATGCATAAATCTGTTCTGGGTGCGGGAAGATTAGTTCCTTTAGAACTTTTGTCTATTCCGTTTTAAGACGTCTATTATTAATGGGAAAATACTGGAAATCCGTTCTCGGTAAATGTTTTTAATAATTAGGGACAATTGTTAATGTTAATTGCTGTTAATTAAGTTAAAGCACTTAAATATAGATTATGCTAAAACAAATTAAACTTCGGAAAGCTCGGCCCTAAGTTGTAGGCTCCGACTACTTAGGGTCGACTCCGCATAATCCAGGCGCCATCCAGCGGGGTGCACCGACCACACGCCATCCAGCGGGGTGCACCGACCACACGCCATCCAGCGGGGTGCACCGACCACACGCCATCCAGCGGGGTGCACCGACCACACGCCATCCAGCGGGGTGCACCGACCACACGCCATCCAGCGGGGTGCACCGACCACACGCCATCCAGCGGGGTGCACCGACCACACGCCATCCAGCGGGGTGCACCGACCACACGCCATCCAGCGGGGTGCACCGACCACACGCCATCCAGCGGAGTGCACCGACCACACGCCATCCAGCGGGGTGCACCGACCACACGCCATCCAGCGGGGTGCACCGACCACACGCCATCCAGCGGTGTGCACCGACCACACGCCATCCAGCGGGGTGCACCGACCACACGCCATCCAGCGGGGTGCACCGACCACACGCCATCCAGCGGGGTGCACCGACCACACGCCATCCAGCGGGGTGCACCGACCACACGCCATCCAGCGGGGTGCACCGACCACACGCCAAATAGGCACCCATATATATATGGTCAAATGGTACTCAAGATTGTTCGACAAAGCTAGTTTTCAGATTTCAGATTAAGACGGCAGATATTGTTGTTAGCATACACTTGCTTGGGTTATACCATATTGGGCTGGGTTAGGTTGGAAGGGTGGGTTGTCATCCTCACAGCTGGGTTATAATTCCCATAGACTTATTTAGCTTCTAGAGTTGGTAGTCATAAATTTTCTATTGTTTGCGTTCCGCCATTTGTTATAAACTATATACATGTAATATTTTCCATTGTATATTGAAGTATTATGATCTTTATATTGCATATATTATTTATTTACGAAAATTATGTTTTTCGTTAAATTACAATTTCCGTATACGATTTAGTTACTTTTCGTCCTGTGAGGTTGAATCCCATGTACATAATTTTTTAGTTCCTGGTTCCATTTTTTTTTTCCATTGGTGTATGCGAACGCGTCGGTGAACTCATTACAATACATAGTATCCCTATTTCCAAAAGTTTACGTGTTAAATAAGTGTCTTCCCTACTTATTTGAAGTGTTGAGCTGTGCTAAAAACATTTGGAAATAAACGCCCAATAGCCGATTAATTTATGCTGATGCGCTGTTGATGTTGAGAGGAGGGGGAGGAGTTGGAGTTTATATAAGGCGGTATTTGTAATCAGTAGAAGGAATTAACAGTAAATTACTCGAAAAACTGGTTTACATTCGCGTAGCTCATTGGATGAAACGGCCAGTACGCGTTCAGTGAGGTTTAAGTACTATATTGGGTCTGTCAACCTCTTGATGGGTGACAGCCTACCCCCCTTGGCAACCCCCCTCTCAATAAACCTAACAGGTTTCTTGCGTCTGATAATACTACATCACCTTACTGTGTACCGCATGGGTGTTCAGCTTAGTTAAGGCTTAGTTTACCAGGTACATTGAGGTTTACAGTTTATCATGCAGTGATTTTCAAGTTACCGCATACGACTGCCTTTATTACAACTATAGATGAGTTGGAATCTGCAAAATTTCCATCCCACTTTTGAACAAAGAATAACATTGAACAAATAAAGAGGTTAGCATTACCGCGGTCGATATCAAAATATGAAAGATATCCAACCAATCTTATAATATACAGCTCACAGACTGCAATATTGATCCTCGAAGCGAGCAAGTTTTAACTAGACAATATTCGAATACCAGTTCGACTACCATTTTCTCGAACCTCTACTCTAGGAAAGGTTCTACTTTTCCAGTTCGCGCTCCACATACATAACGTTGTCCTCTTAAAAAGTTACCTAAATATCTGCAATAGTCTATACAGCACACGCATCGCATTGCACAAGTATTTCATTATGAATGTATAATGAACTAAGCAACATGGGATTCCTTGGCACAAAAACCTGGTGACTAACACGCAAGCTTCCTCACACTGCTGGCACAAATTATCACCTGTCACTTCACCAGATGCATTAGGCCACGAAGTGCACTACAGGAAGCCTAGAGAGCAAGCCTCGGCATACAATATATATATATGCCTCAATTATGGCCACCACTTTCAACGCCTTCTGGTCGTAGTTTTGTTCCACTTGCGTCAAGATTTCATAGCGCAAGTCCAGTATTTTCTTTAACATCCCTGACCATTAGGAGCCCAAATGAACATGTGGGTCCTTTGTCTCCACCAGTAGTTTACAGACAAACTCGCATCTTAAAAACTCACTTCACATTAAACTACAAGACTGACTTCTTTGTCTTTGGTCTCATCCCCCGTTTTCTGTGGCTGAGGCTCAACCACAGGCGGTCGACACCCTCATCACCGAGCACTTCCACCGTACAGTATCCACCAGTGATTCACTTACACAAACTCGAGACAATTCGGTATCTGCTATATTCACTTGTCAAGAATGACACCACCACCGTACGCGATGAACGACAAGACTTCAATGCCACACTGCAAATAATCTTGAGAGGTTTGGGGCGAAGAGCGCAAGCTTACCTGTACCGTACTGGGCTTGCCCTCTAAAGTGTGACCGGCGGCGGCAACACCGACCACTCGGGCCTCCCTGCTACAAAAAGTAGTGATGCCACATATTAACTCCCTAACCGAATTCATATATTTATACATATATTATTCATTCCTGCAGCGTAGCGACCTTGATTTACACCCGTTCTTTTAAAACTGCATAATGATCGTCGTTTTAGATATTCCGCTGTACCTGCAATCTCGATATAAACTACAAAATCTTTGCTTTGTATCGCCGTTTCAATCAGTCCGGCAGCCACAGAGGCAACTGTGCTCATTGGCTGTGATTGGCTGGCTGTGTGAGGGGCGGAGTCGTTGAGTGGGTGGTGGTGGGGGGCCGGGGACCGGGAGAGGCTTGGGGGATGGGAGGGAGTCTTGGCTTGGGGGTGGTGGGAGACTATGATGGGTGACCATGCTATTACTAACAGACTTGGAGGCTCTGTAGTCCATCTCTTATCATTCGATCCCGTTGAGAGATCACTCGTAGCCCTCATTTTTCTCTCTTCATGACTGAGGGGGGTTTTAGTGTGTAATGCTATGACAGCGACCATTATGCTAGGCTCAACGCTTCTTCCACACATCGTTGCGACCTCCGTCGCTATGGATAAGCTTTTGTGTACAAAGCAAAATATATATATACAAAAAATATTCGTACCTGGAGGCACACATATATGAATATTCTAATGTTTTAATAGTGGTGGATCAAAAGACTAAAACTCATCACACCCCTGTCTTTAAATTGTTCTGCTAATGTTTTGGTATTAATGAACAAGCGAGTTTTATATAAGGCATGTCAAGTCATCCTGAAAGGATGACTTGACATGCCTCTACACTAGAATTTGTAAACACCTCATGATAAATATTTTTAGCCGGAGCAAGTTATTGATTAATATTTTAGTGTAAGTATAAACGGACATACGGGACATACGGCACTTCAGTTCAGTACGCCGTTTAGAAAGTAACTTTAGGAACTTTAGTTCAGAACTAAACTATACTTTCTGGTTAGTCAGTAAGTACCTGTGTGTCCTTAATAACCCTCCTTCAATACCAAATCAAAGGGACTGAACTCTTCAGCTTATATTTCTTGTGACTTTTCCTTAATGGTTTACATTTTATTAACTAATGCGCTATAATAATTTATTCTCTAGTGTACATACACACACACCGTTCGTTATCGAAGACATGAAGCATTTTAATTAAGGTTTTTCTGTTCTGATGGGATCATGCGGTTCTCGGGATAACCCATTCACTTACTGGCCAGGCCCAGTGATGTTTAACCTGACTGACCGAGGGCGTGCATAGCAGCTACTGCACCACGCCCTCCAAACATACATTACGTGTAAGATTCTTCACATCTGTACACATGATATATGACTGGCCACTACCCTGACCTTGGTCACTATCTATCTGCCTCACCATGCTGCCCCCACTAATGTTTGGCGCTTCATCAACAGCGCGCCAACATTCCCATGAACGTTCACGGCTACTGAACGTAAGCTAGCCATACAGTGTCACTTGTATCGTAATACCATGCTGAAGATGGCCCGACACTGACACCAGACGGGGAGACAACGAGAGAGCCGTTGACACCAAAGGCCACAGTGTAATCTGCTGAGCTCCATTCTTAATGTTCTAGTACTTTTTCGCCTGCGTTGAACTATAACTCGACGCCCTGGGGAGGTTGGTTAATTCATTAGTTATCTCGCCTCTCATTAGTCTAATCGCCGAAGCTTCATTTATCTCTAAAATTTTATCCCCAATACTATGTAAGTTCAATCATTTATCAATATCTCAGCAATAAACTCCTTTTCTTCTGGTTTCAACTCTTTTTGACCATGTCGTAGCTCAGTTGATTAAAGCAGCGTCTGGGATGCTCTCGGACGTAGGTTCGAATCCTCGTCACGGCCCTTGTGGATTTGTTCTTCAGTAATAGTATTTCTTGGGCCATGAGAATAATCTTGAGATTATTCTCATGGCTTAATTTTATATCTTCTCCAACTTGTTTAGTTGAAGATATAAAACAGTACCTTTACCAAAACAGTACATGACAGGGGCAGCATAATCAATAAGAGATCTCACAGTACATCATGCGATTACCACTGGAATGTGAAATATAGAATACAATTAATAATTGTGTACTGTATGGGTTTGTGAGCCCCTTGAGGGACCTTATATAGACGAGGGTAGAAATAGCCTAAGCTACTCTAGCCTTTTGAGATGTACTTCCTTTTCTCAATAAATTGACTTGAACTTGAACTGGGAAGGTAGGATGGTTGAGGAGAAACCGAAACAGTTTTGTGTTCGCTCTACTGTGATTATGAAGGAACACTTGCCAACACTGTCACTATCAACTTTAATCTATTTGTCTATCTATTTTAGATAATATTCGTAATTTATTCACCACTAGCTCGACATTTATTACCGTACTTCTAGACTTATTATGCACACAAATATTTGATCATGTATCAAATATTTTAGTATCCTATGTATTGTAGATATGAAGGTTATTTAGATATTAAGATCCTTAGATATTTTAGGATCTTGAGGATCCTTGCTGCAATCTACGTCGTTGGTTCAGCCCTCGTGGAAGAACAAAAGCGATTGTGGGAATTTTTTTTTCAACTGATGCTTCTGTTCACCTATCAACAAATAGATACCAAGGTGTTTGGCAACTATTGAGGGTTGCATCATGGTAAATAGGGTTATCTTGAGGTTATCTTGAGATGATTTCGGGGCTTTAGTGTCCCCGCGGCCCGGTCCTCGACCAAGCCTCCACCCCCAGGAAGCAGCCCGTGACAGCTGACTAACATCCAGGTACCTATTTTACTGCTAGGTAACAGGGGCATAGGGTGAAAGAAACTCTGCCCATTGTTTCTCGCCGGCGCCTGGGATCGAACCCAAGACCACAGGGTCACAAGTCCAGCGTGCTGTCCGCTCGGCCGACCGGCTCCCATTTAGATTATATTTTTTTCAGGTAAAGGAACATACATTGAAGATGAGTTACAAACATTATGTTGGAATTTAAAGATAGAGCTAGTACATACAATACCTAAAGCCACTAGTACGCATAGCGTTTGTTTCAAGCGTAGGTTAAACATAAATGAGTGTGTAGATATAAATAGGAGCTGCCTCTGTTTCCTTAATTCTTATGTTCTTATAAGGGTAAGTGGCTTCCACTATGGGGCCTCGTAGCCTGGTGGATAGCGCGCAGGACTCGTAATTCTGTGGCGCGGGTTCGATTCCAGCACGAGGCAGAAACAAATGGGCAAAGTTTCTTTCACCCTGAATGCCCCTGTTACCTAGCAGTAAATAGGTACCTGGGAGTTAGTCAGCTGTTACGGGCTGCTTCCTGGGGGTGGAGGCCTGGTCGAGGACCGGGCCGCGGGGACACTAAAGCCCCGAAATCATCTCAAGAAGATAACCTGGGAAACAACGAGGTAAACCATAGCTTGAGTGTGAGACAGGCGAGCTGTGTAAGAGGCGCCGTAATTACTCTGCGAGATGACTAATTAGTCCAGTACAGTGTATGGCACCAAGGCTTACTGATGAAGATGGCACGGGCATGAATAGCCCGTAAGGTAACACGGCTCCTTTCCCGAGCATATGTATGGTCACCTGCACTACAACTGCCGTCAACGACACTCCGACACCAGCTACTGTGTTCTCAATCTCCACACCTCCAAGCTCTCTCTTCTCTCTCCGCTATTGATTTTTGCTGTCCGCCTCTCCCATTAACGGTTGACGATATGACACCCAAGTATTAACCCACACCTCAACCCTTCATAGCTAAGAGCGAACACACCACTCACATTAACTAAGTTTGGCATTCTCACCCTTTTGATTAAGTGGATGTAGGCGATAAGTCACAATAACGTGGCTAAAGTAAGTTGACCAGACCACACACTAGAAGGTGAAGGGACGACGACGTTTCGATCCGTCCTGGACCATTCTCAAGTTTTCGAAGGTGAAGCCCTTCACCTTCTAGTCACATCTAGTGTGTGGTCTGGTCAATTAAGTGGACGTTTTCTCAGTGTGACTGTATTTTGCTCGAAACCCATAGCATCAGAAACACCTTGTATCCACCAACTTATATCCACTGACCTATATCCAGCGACTGGTGAGTTCGAGCATTGAGCTCGACTCTATATTCAAGTCTGCACCATAATCAGCACGCTACATTGACGGTTGTCTTGGCCATGTTGTCTATTCGTCCGAGGCCAGGCTTGACTTGTGAGAGTTGGGTCCAGTAGGCTGTTGCTTGGAGCGGCCCGCAAGCCCACATATCCACTTCAGAACAGTTGGTCAGGCTTTTCTTGAAGAAAACTATCCAGTTTTATCTTGAAGCGGTAGTTGGAGGTGGATGTTGGGGCGAGCACATCCTGGAGACTTTATGAAACATTAACAATCAATCTATCTATTTATTGAGACACGTTCCTCGATAACCAAATTATGCAATGAAAAAGAAACCACCATTTCCAGATACAACTGTTGTCCTGTCCTTAAATTAATAAACATTAAAGGAATGGCAAAAAACTCTTTAGTCGCACATAGCGGAACATTCCTCAATGATAACGTCTCGCTGTAATTGCAGCAGGATGCTAATTTACAAAAGATAACATGGAAATTTAGACAGCAACAGACCATTACATCAAATCTGCCATGTTTCCGAGATCATTATGAAAATTTGAGAATAAATGCTATACGTTAAAATTCTCTATAACTACACACAATTTATCTAACTTTATCTAAGCATATATGTTGTGAGTCATAAAAGCACACAGTAGGTGTATGCTGTGGCCCCAGTCAGTGACAGTGGCTCTTGTGTACTCATACACGACACACACCCGCACTTTAATGTAATGCTCTATAAAAGAACTTGATTTAGCTGATCAATCGTAAAGTAGTTTTCATCTTGGGTTTCCACTGCTGGTCCAGAGGACTGAGGGCCTCGCCCACTGGGTAAACCTGAACCCTTTCCTGCCTTTAAGGGACACAGCCGTCGACCACAAAGCTCTTTCATAAATTTATGAAGTAATTTCCATTTATAGCACATTATTTGAATATGTCAATCTATAGGAATTTATTGAGGGAAATACGAGAGGCAGAGCCAGAGGAACGACAAAGTCAGAACGTGTGCATACAAAATGAGATTTATTGGTCTCGTATCTCGACATGGCACCTCAGTAATGTTCGCGAGATTAGGGAAACTGATCTATTGGGCATGGGTAAGTAAGGCTCGTTATCCCCTGCTTCGCTCCCAGCCCAGGTGTTTATTGGGCTGTAGACAAAAGGTAGGACAAGCAGGGATAAATTCCCGCGCGCGTTGCCATCTTCTCCCAGACACACTCCTTCCCGCCATCGTACCATGCACTTCGTAGGTGCACCCAGGTTTTACCTGTTCTTAAATAGGGTATTTGCGGGACGACTATGCGCTGGTCACTCATGATTTACTGAATTGCTACTGGTAATGGACTGCCAGATAGGAGATATGGCAGCAGTGATTGAGGAGGCTGGAGGTAGCTATGGACCGGGTGGGGGGTAACCTGGAGGTCAGGTAAAGTGAGGTAGAGAAGAGGTGGGGGGGGAGGTAGAGAGAGGGGGTAGTGAAAGGGAGCTTTCCCTCCACACTGATGTCCTCGTGTCATCTGGAGACTGATACTACACGTTTTACAAAGTTTCCCCAAAATAAGCCTGACTAGAGCGCGGAAACATTCTTCAGACTTACGAGTGAAGAATCTTGGGGTTAAACTTCTGTTTTAACTCTTAAAGCGCTACAATCTTCCAGGCTTGGTACCTTGTTTTGATAATTACGTCCTTCTGTTTAACTGAGAAACAAAGAAAGTCGTTCATTGTGATGCTGAACTGTGCAGTGAACATTGTTGTTCACTTTATGTGCACCTGTAGATAGAGGAAACAATGTTGTGTTTCCGCGGTACTTTGTTCACCTGTGTACAGAGAGTTAACAATGCTCATTCAGAGATAATGCATTGTAGTGATGTGGTGGCGGTAGTACTGGTGGCAGTGGTGGTAGTACTGGTAGTGGCAACAGAGGTGATAGCTCCGAAGAGGTGATGGTAGTAGCGGAAATGGTAGTACTAACAGGCGTTGCAGCTGTAGCAGTTGCAACAGCTGTGGTCGTAGGACCGGTAATGATGGCAAGAATGTTGTGTGGGTCGTAGCGGCAACCCTTGTGATGCAAGCAAACTTAACAGCACCAGAATTATCGTCATAAACATCATCGTCACCAAGTAGTCCTCCATTGTAACTTTAGTCAAAATTACGACTGAAACGTGCAAATGGACGAGAGTGGTTTAAAAATATCAAATAAAAACAAACTCAAAATAAACTTTAACATGGAGAGGCTATACAGTAGGACTGGACTGACAGAAGCCTCTGCCATATGCGTCAGCGGACACCATTCATCTTTTAAGAATGGTTTAAACAACAAGACCTGCCTACCATGGGTCAGAAACCACTAGCTGCGGTACCAGAAATCACAAAAAATAAAGGAAGTGGAAGGAAGGTCACAGATTGGCCGGAAGCCGAAACCAAAAAAACAATGTTTAATATTTTTTGTTGTAACTTTTAATTGCACAAAACTAACTTTGGTAATGAGCGGACGGAAATGTTTTCTGAAACATTGCAGAAGGATAACTACTAAGGAAACTAAATTTATATTTCCTAGAATGGCGTAAAGTTCAAAATTACTTAACTACCAGCTAATTAATCGGTCATTGGCGGCATAACTGAAGTGTAGACATGATACAGGGGGCTCATTAGGTGAATATAAACAGTTCTTGAATGAGATCATAGTGGAATAGTTAAGATTAAACAATATAGAGATAAACACTTGTTCGGAAAAATTGGAATTGCGTAGAGTTGTTTATCAGTACGTCAGACGCAATCAGTGGACAGCCTCAATCAGAGGCTTCATAGCATGAATGGTTGGGTACAGACGAGCTGCAGCTCATCCACCAACATGCCTCCTGCAGCTGCAGCTCATCCACCAACATGCCTCCTCCAGCTGCAGCTCATCCACCAACATGCCTCCTGCAGCTGCAGCTCATCCACCAACATGCCTTCTCCAGCTGCAGCTCATCCACCAACATGCCTCCTCCAGCTGCAGCTCATCCACCAACATGCCTCCTGCAGCTGCAGCTCATCCACCAACATGCCTCCTGCAGCTGCAGCTCATCCACCAACATGCCTCCTGCAGCTGCAGCTCATCCACCAACATGCCTCCTGCAGTTGCAGCTCATCCACCAACATGCCTCCTGCAGCTGCAGCTCATCCACCAACATGCCTTCTGCAGCTGCAGCTCATCCACCAACATGCCTCCTGCAGCTGCGGATCATCCACCAACATGCCTCCTGCAGCTGCGGATCATCCACCAACATGCCTCCTGCAGCTGCAGCTCATCCACCAACATGCCTCCTGCAGCTGCAGCTCATCCACCAACATGCCTCCTGCAGCTGCGGCTCATCCACCAACATGCCTCCTGCATTTGACTTAATTCTAACTCGTCTGTTCTAATAAGCAACAGCTTTCATGATTACAAAGGTACTTTTAACATACAAAATAGTGCGATCATTAATTTTTATCTCCTGAATTAGCGTGTCCGGTCAGTGACAAAGCTGCAAATCTGGACTGGTGGCGGAGAATTAGGGAGATAACGATGGTAGGCGGGAGGTGGTGATGGTGAGGGCTGGCGGGGGAGGCTGGTCACTCGTCCCCAGGGTAACGGGGGTTGACAAGCATCCCATCCCTCGCCATAACTCATCCCTCGCCATAACTCCTACCATTCAGAGCATCGCCAGAAAGCAACAGTGAAAATCTAACGTGATCTGCTGAATCCCCGTTTTGTTAATGTTGGCTTGAGAGTATGGGGTGTATGTGGGCAACAGTAGCAGGGGGAGGGCGGCGGGAAGTTGTGGTGGAGAGCTGAGCTAATTGCTGTACCACTGCAGTCACCCGCTAGCTGCCACACCCCGCCGCCTCCCGCTAACACTGCCCATTGACTCTGTACAGTGATTTTGTGCGGGCAGAACTCCCTATCAATAAATTCGTCTTTCGATGGCACGACACTGAAGTCAGTCAAGTCCAGGCTGATCGCATCGTCCGGGCTCTAGGCCTAAGAACGCCATAAGGTCGCATTGTGAAGTAAACTGTAAAATTAATATTTGAAGATGTTTTCATGTTTTCTACAGTAAACATGTAGATAAATATCATCCCTTATTAGTCCACCAAGGGATGATAAGCTGAACTACCTGGTCGACCCAAGATGGGAACAAGCAATCTCTATAACTTGCTGAGAGTGGAGATTGTTGGTGTCAGTGGGTCAGCTGGTGACAACGGCAGGTGTCTTCCAGCTACACGCGGGTAGAGATGAGGAGTTGGTGAGGTGAAGTCATGGAGATCAGGAGTTGGTGTGGTGAAGGAGCGGTGGGTGGAGGGGGGAAGAAGAGGGTGGTGGTGGGGAGAGCAGGGTGGGGCAGGGTGTGAAGGGTGAGGGAGGGAGGGGGCTGAGGGTGGGTGGATGCGGGTGGTGCGAGCAGCCTTCCTCACAGATGCCAATACCACTAATATTTTAACCCTCCAAGTTACCCAAGTTTCCTTATACTTAAATGCCTCTGGTTATGACTAGGGTTAACTCACCCAAGATATAATCAGAAGAAAATAAAACTATTTTTTTCTTCCTTCATAATGGCTGCCTACAATGACATTTATCACTGCTAGGTTATAGTCTAATATATTGTTACTAGGTAATATTTCTGTGGTAATTATTAACGAAATGTAATATGTTAGAAGAAGGAATGATAGCGTGCAACAGGGCCAGTACAAGGGCTGCAACACGTAAATTAAACAAGGTGAGTACAAGGGTCGCTCCTCTCACACATTCAAGGCTAAGACAAGAGAACTCTGTTTCCAAGTTCCCAGGCGCGCGCAGGAGGCCCTGAGGCCACGGTGGACGACTGGGGCTGGGAGGGAAGAGGAGGGATGGTGGAAGGGAGGACGTGGGAGGGAAGAGAGGGTGGGAGGGAAGAGAGGGTGGGAGGGAGAGAGGAAGGGAGGAACGGACGGAGCAATTCTCTCAATGAGTTGCCCGCGGCTGGCCAAGCCCACACACACACACATATACACACACACCTTAGCCAGCTCCACACCAGCGACCCTTCTGTCCACCACCCGTCTACGTGGACACCAACCCTGCTGCAGGAGTGTCGCCTGGGCACATCTGAGTTAACCTCCCAAGTTAAAGATACTTCTGGGGGCTCCAGCAGGCGGTCCTTTAGATGAAATAACACATTTAAATTTAATATCTCTTATTTTCTATAACTGTGTGCGTGTAAGAGTGGGTATAAATAAAGCACTTGACGACACTGTAGACGTATTTGCTCATAAGCGGCAAAGAGAGTGACGGTTCTTTGGTTGGGTTCGTATACGACCGCTCACCCCAGCAGTCATCTGGTGGATGCCGTTATTTACATTTGTACACGTTCTCATCCGATTGTGAGAAAATATTAACGAAGTTTTATCCTAATATGATTATTTTTGTTACAGTTACAACAAGAAACATTTCAATTGGCATTCAGTTTAAGTATATATACGACGCTAGACACGATTTCTTTGGAACAGGTGGCACCACTGCGTTAGGGTGGGGCGTCGGTGGGGTTGGGGGGGGGGGGGAGAGGTGCTGCCTCTAGGCGAGCTTCTACTCTTGTTTTGGTTGTAGCGCACTGGAGTGGAGAGTGGAGTAAGTGGGCGCAATGAATAAACATCCCATCTTTTATTCTTTTTGTGACATCAATGTTAAGTCCATTGTCATAATATATCTTCAATACATTGACTCATTCTGTACCAATTGATGGCTTCCCAAGTAGATATTATCGTACGATGGTTGAACGGCATGTAGGGCGTCTGGCAAGCCCTTGATGCAGGGGAAGAGTGGCCTGTCTCCGCCACACTGCCAGGCTCCATTACCATGCCACCACTAATATCACAGTTCAACCCTACCAACACTACTTGCCTCTAACACCTTTCAACAACACGTTTCTATTACAGCCCTAGTCCGCCACCCCATGCGTCGCAGACGTTGAGATCTTGGTAATTAAAGGCCTACTAGGTAGTCTGGGGGAAGGGATTAACAGAGATCTTAAGGACTACACTAGCAGCCGCGTCGAACAGCCTGGTTGACAAGACGACCAACCAGAGGCCTGGTCAGAGACCGGGCTGCGGGGACGTTAATCCTCGGAATCATCACAGGTCGACAGGTTAAGGTATAGCCAAGTACGCCTTGTTTGTAGACTTCCGAGGAAAGGAAGGGAACTATCAGGAGAGTGCTAAGCCATTACGACTATATAGCACTGGGAAGGAATCAGGATAAGGAATGGGGATGGGACGCCAGGGATGGAATGGTGCCCAACCATTTAGACATTGAACGCCGACCTGCATGAAGTGAGACCGTCGTTCTACCATCCAGTTCAAGTTGGGCATCTATAAGTCTTTAACATGGCACAAGGAATTGCTCTCCTAGGTGAGCTTGTAGGCTTCGGTGTCAGGGAGAAGACTTTTGAAATGGATTGAAGACTATCTCAGGAAGAAAAGTCAAGGTCTGCTCTGACGGATCAAATTTGGCTACATAAATATTAAACTAATTACCCAAAGCTTCCTAGCATTACATAAGTAATGAAGAAATATGATATATTTACTCACTATAATGTTGGTGCTGAATGTAGAACATGAAAAACATTTTTATCCCAACGACATTTTTTTTTTTTTATCTTTATTTAAAAAAATACAATATAAATTACATATACATAAGTGTTACAAGGTAATTGACGAAACTAAGTGGCAGGTGACGCCACAGGAAGTCGACGATCGAAGCGACAACGTTGTGGAACAACTTGTCCGGAGGTTATATTAGATTAGGTTTAGTTAGGTACAGAAGGAGGTTGATATGCCAGCGAACACTCTCCAGTCAACAATATATCTTGGATAAGTCGTTCCACAACATTGTCGATTGGGTCGTCGAATATAGATACTGTTCTTAAAAGATTCCCCCATTAGACACCCACCAGATAACGTAAGATTTTAAGGGTTGACAGATGTTAATCTTCTAGTTTAGGAGTGTTGTACATGCTGGTTTGGCGGTGTGTCCACTCACAGGATGAGTGGCGCTGCCCAATAAACTCGCCCCCCCCCCGGGGCAAAATAAAAATTAAAATTGGTAACCTTCCCTGGGTCTGTTGGTGCTAACATTGGTAACCTTCCCTGGGTCTGGTGGTGTTAGCATTGGTAACCTTCCCTGGGTCTGGTGGCGCTAACATTGGTAACCTTCCCTGGGTCTGGTGGTGCTAACATTGGTAATCTTCCCTGGGTCTGTTGGTGCTAACATTGGTAACCTTCCCTGGGTCTGGTGGCGCTAACATTGGTAACCTTCCCTGGGTCTGGTGGCGCTAACATTGGTAACCTTCCCTGTGCCTGGTTAACATCCCAATAGTTTGACACGTGAGCTATGTCTGTAAAATAAGGCCTACATGCAATGTTCCTTTCTTAACACTTGAATACGAGGCCCTCAGCGGCGCACTCCGTCACTCGGACTCGAGGAACGCAAGGCCCTCATCACCATCTGGCCCAGGCATGCTAACAATGTCTTGATCGTGTAGCCAGAAATACAATATGAACTTCTTCTTTTACAATCTTTATACTACGTGCTAGTCTCGAGGTCTGGGGCTACCACCTACACCCATGATAGTCTCGAGGTCTGGGGCTACCACCTACACCCGTGCTAGTCTCGAGGTCTGGGGCTACCTCCTACACCCGTGCTAGTCTCGAGGTCTGGGGCTACCTCCTACACCCGTGATAGTCTCGGGGTCTGGGGCTACCTCCTACACCCGTGCTAGTCTCGAGGTCTGGGGCTACCTCCTACACCCATGATAGTCTCGAGGTCTGGGGCTACCTCCTACACCCATGATAGTCTCGAGGTCTGGGGCTACCACCTACACCCGTGCTAGCCTCGAGGTCTCGAGTGCCTGGACGCACCACTCCCCTCTGAGTGGTGTACAGGTATGTTGTGTGTGACAGAGGCATTATACACAAGGCAAACCAAGCAGTCCACGGAACATACAACATACAGGAGAGTAGCAAGATACAGTAGATCTATTAGTGAGATGCTTCACCTTATTCCATTCACCACATCCTCGAAAAAAATCCTTCTCTGCCTTTGACAATGTTAACAAGGAACAACTCTTAACTCCAGGCCAAATAAAACTGTAATAATGAACTTTGGAGAGTTACTGTTTCAACTTCCTTCTCAAGTGAAGGAAAATATAGGGAAAATAGAGAAAATTCGTGCTAGAATCATTCTCACCTTTTCCGTCACATTCACTAATATATGCCTTCAGGAAAGACTGATTGTTATATATATATATATATATATATATATATATATATATATATATATATATATATATATATATATATATATATATATATATATATATATATA